ATTGTTTATAATATTTTCCTCGATTAAGGTCTGCGCTAACTTGTCTGGCCACGAGAAAACTGTTGACTGAGACAGCGTGGGTCTCCATAGATACAAATCACATCGAATACGCCAACATATTTTATTTTAAAACCTACCTAACCCATTCCAATCTAATCTTACCCAAAGAGACCGAATTTAACCCAACGGAGTCAAACATAGCGTAAACTAAGCTAATACATCCTAAACAAACGATATATATAGTTTTCACAACGGGGGAAATAAGCTGTCGAAACGTGTTTTGTACAATTTGATTCGTGCGGACGTTTCTGCGCGATACTTCACCACGGGGCTGCCGAGAGAGAGATATAAACTATTTTTTCTATTACTGGGAGATATCAACATAACTTATGCATGTTTAACAATGTTAATCATTTATTATGAAGGTTCTCTGTATCCTCTATCCACCGCCTGCAGGAAGAGCTGCAAGAAAAGGAGAGGGACTCGGAGGAGAGGGATTCCGAACACCAGCAGACTGTGGCCGCCTTGCGGGAGGAGCTGGAGTCTTTGGAACAGCAGCTCGAACACCTCCAGGTTGGTCTGCTATGCAAAGTGAACTTACAAAAATCTACAATTTATGTTGAAAATAAAACAAAACTAAAACAACAAAATTTTGATAAAATTGAAAGCAAATGTAAATTTTTGTACACTGAAAAACACACACCTACACAATTCACAAAGACACATAAGCAGATGACACACACACACACAGGGGGGAGGGCCTTCGCCCCCGCCTGTGACGAGGCCTTATGAGGGCCTCGTGGCTTGAAAGCAACTCACAAACTCAACTCAAAACCCCGGAGAAGAACATTTTCAATTGTAATGATACCATTCTCCTTATCAAAGGGCGGTAACTTGTAGCATTACGTTCTGCCCACAGCTACAACAGGAGGAGGGGCAGCAGGAGGCAGCGCAGCAGGAACTCACCAACAAGGGCATCATCAGTGAGCTTCAGGACAAACTTCAGGAGAGGTTGGAGCGTCTGCAGGAGGCTGAGAATATCATCTCTTCGTATCAGGTCAGCTAAATGTTTTGATGGTGATGATATGGATACGTTGTGTCCGAGGTACTCGGAGCCTAGGACCACGCTCTGCTCCTCCGGTACGTTTGGTTGAGGCTTCTCCCACAAAGGCGGGGATTAAGAATTATTTGTTATGATGATTTGAAGAACGCAGCTTCCCATATATCATCAATGCCACTAAACGTTTTGCTTTAGAGTTTATCCGATGTAGGAAACTGTTCCTCTTAGGTAACCTCTTATACTGGATTCAATAATTACAGGAAATCTGTGATCCGGTTTCCGTAACATGAACCCAGTTCAGTCATACGCAATTAAAATATCGCTGTAATCGTTCCTCTAAAATTACAACTAAACAAGTTTAACCCAACCCAAGTAATGACGTATCGGTCCGTTCTGGACCCCTTTATATAGTTAGCTATAATCGCTGTGACTTATTTTCTGCCATATCAGTTTTCCATTTGCAATTATTCCTCTCAGTCGCCCCAAACCCAGAATACACTATCAGATCTTCCCCCACTAAACAGGTGCAGCTGAGGAACAAGGACAAGCAACTGGAGCAGCGAGAGAAGGCTAGTGAGGAATCAGTGGCCCTGCTCAAAGAAAAGATACAGACCCTCTCTAACATGCTTGAGGACGAGCACAAGAAGGTGGCGGCTGCTCAGGTAAGTTGACTTTGATTCCCAACAGTTGAGACAAATGGCAGAGGAAAACAAATAATACTCATAAAGACAATTTACAGCACTGTAAGATAGAAATTTTACAAAGGCTTGAAAATTTACGCTTTGTCTTGAAGTACAAATAACATGTAATGATAATGATCCAATTATAACCAATGGTTGGGAAACTCTTTGAAACAAGACGGCGGGATCAATCCACTTTTTCAAACGAAGATAAATGATCTTAAAAAAATTCAATAAATGTTTATGTGCGAGAGAAATTCTCAAGAGACATCTGCTTACTGATATTGGCGACTGGTGGACGTTGCAGGCGCAGGAGGAGGAGTTGGGTCGCCTGCAGCAGCTGGATGTCACCAATAGGAAGACCATCTCCTCCCTCAAGGAGCAGCTGGCCCATCTCACTCGCATCATGAACCAGGAGACAGAGCAGGCCCAGGGGCTCCAGGTATGGCCTGGCGGAGAAGGGTAGTTATTATATTATAAATTAGCCTAATGCACAATGTAATTATATATTAATTTACACTACAAGTATATTATTTACTATATTATATACAATATATTATTTATAAACTAGACTATATTTCTCTCGAGGAGAGATTGCAGCACAAATTATATATTCAATAAATTCGTAGCAGTGGTTAAGCTACAATTTGAGTCTAATCTAACAAAATTACTTTTTATTCTTCATTCTAAATTTTTGGGAATGCTTTCTAATAGTTCTAGTAAGGTGCATTAAAAAATGGTGCTACCTCAAATACAAATTATTATAAATTATGGTTTTATACATTAGATATTATATATTTTTCTTGCGGTAGCAGTTATTGAAGTTTTTAGTAGGCTGTGCTGCCAACAAAAATTTTTTGTACAGGCTGCGGCCGTCTCCAAAAGTTCATTCGTCAGTTTTTCGTACTGTAATCAAGAACGGTACTTTCTCATCTGTAAATTATGATTATATTATAGTTTTTAGCATGTAATATTATGATTATATTATAGTTTTTAGCATATAATATTATGATTATATTATAGTTTAGTTGACTTTAATATATATTTACAATACGAAAGTAAAGCATTTAGGATATGCTCTTCGATCACAGGAAGTGAACGAAGCACTGAGAAAAATTTGAATTTCAGCAGTTGTTAGTCCCTGGTAAAGTGTGTATTATGCAATATTATGTACTAGCACTTGTCTAATGTTCAGGTTACAGGCTCAATCACACCGGTAAAGGGCTGATATTCCAACACCTGTCCACAACGAGGCTTCGAATCCCACCACAAGATTATTTACAGTCCAAACCAGTTCGTGTTGTAACGGTTTGTATAGCTTGATTGTGATATTAACCCATGTATGTATGTGGTTTCATTCTACAGAAGCAACAGCAGAACAGGATCCAGGAGCTTCTGCGACAAATCGACGTCTTCAAGAAGATTATCAACGACTTGAACGCGACCTCTGAAGCGAAAGACCAGAAAATGAGAGAATACGAGAAAATTATCTCTACGGATCAGGCAAGACGAATTTCTAGATTTTTTAGTTATTTACACCATTGATGTACTAATTCAATTGATGCACCTGATGCTATTGACGCGATTGATGCCACTGATGCCACTTCTAATAGTCGGAGAGAATGGTGACACCTATTCCAGAGCCATAAAACAATGACAAAATTCGTACAGTTTAAACAGTCATTGATGCTGGTTATACACTCTTGGAAGCTATTGATGCTCTTGTTCTGGCGTTGAATGATTGCCTAGGATGATGTAAAGATTTGTAATTCTGTTTTAGGAAATTGATGTTTATTATACTTAAAACTTGGGGATAGTCAGTGGATGGTCCAAGGGGGGGAGGGAGGCCGACCTCGGTAAGCCTAAATAGGCTTCCTACCCATGACTGTTGAAAACAAACTTAACCTAACCTCGAATTAGAATATATTCTGATTCTACGTCGAAATAACAATGATAACGTTGAGTTAACGCTTTTCTAGGATATTGTGCTCATTGGGATATAAATTTTATTTCATTTTCAGGTATAGTAATATAGGTACATACTTGAGTAAGGTCGAGCTTCTACTAAAGTTCCCATCATCTACAGCTTGCCAAACTCCAAGTCACATTAAAAACTGGATTACTGCAACCTCAGCAACTCAAAGAGTTCAAACCGTTCTTGACTTTTTGTTAAATTTAATCCACTTAAAGCCTCATGTTTACCTCTTCCCATAGCTTTAGAGTTATAATTGTAATTAATTTAAGAGTAATACGAAGCGAAACAAACCTTTGCGAGACCTATTTATTCTCCAACTCGAGTGAACAAAGTATTTTGGTACCGAGAGATTATTCTGTAATGCTCACACCAATTCAAAGGTCCAGCTCAGAGAAGCCAGACAGCAGCTTGAAGAGGGCAGGACGGGCCGGAGCCAGGAGACAGTGACCATGTTGAGAGAGAAGGTGGACCTTCTAGCAAGGAACCTCGCTGCTATGCAGGTAGGTCGGCAGTCCTCTTGTGTGATTATCATTAGTTTCTTTCTTAAGAATTCGGTATCCTATGCAGGGTAGAGGACCCATTGGTATCAGCGGATCCCATGCCCCTCCTGTGAGTGGTGGTGGTGGAAAAGGCTAGGTCCTCGAGATAATTAGCCTATCTTAAGAAATAAAGATATGATTCGTGCTAGAGTTTGGCCCTTAATACTTCACGTGTTATACCAAGCCAAGCTAGACTATGTTTCCTTTTCTATACTGGATTATGTTATCCTTGTTATCTGGGTTATGCTATCTTTGTTATGCTATACTGGGATATGGTGCCCTTGCTATAGAGGACTATGCTATCCTTGGCTATGCCATACCATAGCAATGCAACCCTTGCTATAGTGAGCTATGTTACCCTTGCTATACTACCCTTGATATACTGAGTTATGCTGGATTGTGCTATCCTTGATGCTGTGTCACATCCCACAGGAGGCCGAGAGAGAACAGAGGGAACAGAACAAGGTTCACTTACTGAACATAGAAGACATGGCAAACAAGCTCAAGGAATTTGAAAAGGCTATTCGATCATACAAGGTGAGATTTGATGTTGCGTACACTGTATTTTGAACGTATAAGGGAGTGGCTCAAACGCAGACTGTATTTTGAATATATAATATAGGGAGTGGATGTTAGACTGTATTTTGCTCAAACAAGATACGAGTGGCTGTAGCGAGAACTGTTTTTTACGGTAAGATTGGCTATAATGCAGACCGAATTTAGATAGAACATGCTAAGATTGCAGGCCGCATCCTAGACTTTAATACTGTACTCTGATCGTGCCGATGAGGGGCTTCTCGCATGCATATCACGATTGTATTGATTTTCGCGCTGTGTATATGCGCCTGGTATGCGTACATTGGGTATACTCAGTCATGGTTATATACTAGTGAATATTCACGTTATACTGTGCCTTACTGATATAATAATAATATTTAAACAATAAAAATAAAAAAATCGCATTATCATCATTTTTATTATTATTATTAGTTTTATTTACTATCATTATTGATTCCTTAAAAATCTCAGGTGAGAGAAATTGAACTTCTTGAACAAGATGATGTTCACCGGACAAATATTGCAGAGATGAACAAAAAGCTAAAAGAACAGGAACAAACCATCCGTTTATATCAGGTATGAACAATACATTCAGTAGTGGCCAATAATGCACACTGAAGGTTAGGCTATTGTTTTGTTATGCGTAGGTGATGCCTTTGTGGGAAAGGGAAGGTATTTCCCTATCCCACAAAAGTACTTCCCTATCAGTTACTACGGGCAAGGGAAGTCTAACTCTTTATGTCCCCGCCTTCTCCTTGCACTTATTGCGTTATAATTTAACAATTCGTGACGTTCGAATGTCGAATCTTTGGCCGGATTCTTTGTCGAATCCGGCTGTGAGGTTGTGGATGAAGGGCGGCTTCCACAGCTTCTTGTTTTCAGTCCATTCCGTGTTGACCACCCATTCCGGGTACAAGGGTTTCCTTACATGTCTTGGAAAGAAACAAGACGTATTTGTATCTCTAGCTTTCACTTAAGGCCTTTTATCCTACTTTCCCTCAATTTAAAGAGGCTGTTCTTTGTTCATCTTGTCAGTTACATTCTCAGCATCTTACATGTTGCAATCATGTCTCCTCTGTTTCGTTTCTCCTCCAAACTTTAGAGGACTATAGTTCCCTTAACCAATCCTCAGCCCACTTAGCTCTGGCACTAATCTTATTACTAACCTTTCAACTTTTTCAAGTTTGGTTTAAGGCTTCACGAGGTACGGATTCCAGGCCGGTGCCACTTGTTCCAATATTGGTCTAACAAAGGCTATGTAGATCTATGTCTTGAAATAGCCCCATTTTAGTTTCAAAAAGACGTTTTAAAGTTTGCCAATGTCACCTTGTTTACCTATGCCGCTGGAGATAGTATTGGAATTGTATCCACTCCTATCTCTCTCTCTCTCTCTCTCTCTGATTCCTGTAGTTACCTCCCCCTTTAATGGTGTAGATTCTTGGTCTCTTCTTTTCTTTCTTTCCCATCTTCATTATCTTACATTTGTTGGAATTTAATTCCAGCAAGCATTAGCTTGTCCATTCTGGAATTTGTCAAGATCATTCTGTAACTTTCTGCAATCCTCCTCCTTGGCATACATCTCAAAGGAATAGAGTAGCATTAGGCTATTTCTACCCTCCTCTATCACAGGTCCCTCAAGGGGCTCACAAATAATCTTATATTCTACATTACATATATTGTATACTACATATCATTGTGTATATATCAAAATAAGTTGATCACTGCGCTAACCCAGCAGAAGCAAGTTGATGAGGTCAACCAAAGGAGTGAGGGAGTGACTGCTGACCAGCGGGTGAGTTTCTCCAGAACCCAGGAGGTCACGCCCACGGGCAGAGACCAGCAGGAGGCCACGCCCACGCGTAGGGATCACTCTGGACCTCACTGGAGGTCAGATATCAGTTTGAGGGTGAGTTGATATTACTGGGACCCCGACAGGATGGTATATAATGCCTTGCAGTGGCGATCACAAGGGGCAGTTGAGAGCAACGCCAGATGAACGCCACACTGATCTAATGATTGATACATGTACATCAGTATGTTGACGTTATAATCCTCAGCGGACAAAATACGACGTACTTGAATAGCAGCGGTGTATAAACAACCTTGTTTCCTACGGGGGTTGATTAGTTTAAGAAGGTTGCTTGGCTTCGCGTGTTTTAGTATCCCGTGTTTTGTCCGTTGTGGCAACCCAAGAGGACGGACTGTTTGCCTACCCTAGACCAAGGTTATGTTAGACTAAACCTAGATCTAGCAAAATTGGATTCTGATTTTTGCTTGACCTAACTTCTTTTAAAATGGTATGTTTTTTAACAGTAAGTTTTTTACTAAGAAATTAGTTCCAATTGACTTTTATGCATGCACATGACGTACACACACCCACACTAACATGTATGTTACACCTGTATGTTATAAGTCAGATGTGAGTGTGAGTTGCATAGGTGTAGCAGAACAATGGTAGTCCCCTTAGAATACGATAGTGTGCTCTTCCTCACTAACGCAACATAGCGTCTGCCTGCAAGAAAGCCTAACACCTAGGGAAGGAAACTATCAGGCGAATGCGCCAAGCCATTATGATTATACTGCACTTGGAAGAGGTCAGGATAAGGGTATGAGATGGGATGGGTGGGAAGGAATGGTGTCCAATCACTTGGACTGGACGGTACAGCTTCATGCAGGCCGGCGTTCAATCCCCGACTTTAAATCGATCACCAGACAGGAAAATGTTACAAGAACTTTGGAATCCTCAAATAACTCGCGTAAATGATAATAACTGAACTTAGACAAAATGACTAAGAAATTCGTGTTAAAGGACTCAACCTGCATACGCCCTTCAGCAAAAAACTGGATAAGCATAAACAAAATCCGAAATCAAAAAGTAACTTGTCAAAATTCATTGCACAAAGCCAACGAGTTAATTTCAAAATGGGCTCCGGGCTCTTGTTATAACATTTTATTAACAAATAGCATTAGGGAGAAATTGCATAGAAAGTCCAAGGCCCAAAATTCTCTAATATCATGTATCCGGAAATCCTCTACTAGAATTGTAGAATGCGAGTTATATCATTGGGCAGCTGCTTGGCTCACGGACTATGCCGTCTCACTCTACTACTACTACCAAAAAGATTGTCTTTGTCGTAATATTTATCAAATTATGTTGTGTTGCAGGTGGCGTCGCCCTCCGGCCTGCCCAACCTCGGCAACACCTGCTACATCAACTCCGTCGTCCAGTGCCTCTTCAACATCAACTCCTTCAGAGACTACTTCATAAGAGACTCGTACAGGTGACGATGTTTTAATATACAACACACACATCTTAGATGTTTGGATGAAGGTAGTTTCGTACAAAAGCCTAAGGACATTTTGTTTTGTTAAAACCTACCTAACTTAATCTAATCCAATCTGCCCTGACATAACCTAACCTAGACTAAACTAGTATAATCTAATCCAGCCTAACCTAACAATATTTATGTAAGTGAAATCATTAGAAGGCGAGTTAAAAGCAAAACCTATGTGCGATTTGATCCCTCCTCGAATGGTTGAAAATTTTCTAACCCAAATTGCAAAACTACTATTAATGTAGGATTATGCTGCTAGTACTTCATAAACAATTCTACCGGGACAGGTCAACACCAATATACATATACACATACGAGGTGTATATATATATATATATATATATATATATATATATATATATATATATATATATATATATACATATATATATATATATATATGTATAATTACGGGCTCACTATAGCACGTGCTACATGAACATTTCGTTCTGAGAAGCTAAATCAAAAACATCTATATGTATAGGTCAAATTACAATATGTAAATCTAATGTAATGTACCGTATTCTGCGACCATTCAGGAGAGACCTTAACCGCGACAGTGACCAGAGGGGTGAGGTAGCCTCAAGCATCGCCCAGCTCTTCAAAGCCCTTCACTCAGGCATCGAGAACGAGGTCTCTGAGAGAAGCAAACTTTTGAAGGTAAGGATATTAGAATATTCATCAGGGCAACTGGAGGGACCTTTGACAAGCCGCCAGCTTCCTGTCCTCGTCGAAGCCACTAGTATTAGTGGCCCCTCAGGTAAATTCAGGTAAATATCAAGTTTCAACTAGCAAGTATCGACGTATATGCCAATAAAGCCTAACAAAACGTCCCGCCATACGAAAGTACTTTTTTTTTTAGGTGCAAAGACCTTTTTCTACTTTATATATTGACTTTCTCTAACCCCTTCTTTCTTTACACGACTTGATAATGAATGGTTCGGGATGGACCGAAACGTCGTTAATAACTTTATTTTCAGATGTGTGGGTTGGGAAATTGAATGGTCATCCACGTTATTGTGGCTTGCTATCTGCTCCTAGTTGTTTGATAAAGTTTAAGTCTTCACTATTTCATCTGATCAGAAAGCATAGTTGTATGTTAAAGCTAGAGCTTTCTTTGTGCTTTAGTGAATAATTTACAGTCTGTTGTGAAATTGAAATTGAAATAAGTTCATTGAGGTAAAATACACACAAAGGGATGAGGCAGCTCAAGCTATTCTCACCCCGTTCAGTACATCGTGTTAATACATACATAGACACACATCACAAACAATAAACATATTACCAAACATTCTGAGAGATAAACATATACATTTCCTGGAGTCTATTGTGTGTTTTGCATAATAACAGCGGCTTATTGCGTTTGCGTAAAAACGGTATCTTTAACGGATTACTTGTATTATATTTAATTGTTAACAAAATATTCTAATTATATCTACATTAACCAATCCCACACAAATTTAATTTGATCTTAGAGTATAACTAATTTTTTAACGCTCAAAGAATACAACTCTGATATTAGGTATTGACGAGGTACGCGCTAATAATGCCTATACCATAGCCTATGCATATTGTGAGGATTATTATTACCCAAATTGTGACCTTTTGAAAAATATTTTCCCCAATTATGACCTCTCAAGAAATATTATAACCCAATTTTGACCTTTTGAGCAATATTTCCCCCTAATTGTGAGCTCTCAAGGAACATTTTCCTCTAACCTGACCTTGTGAGGCGTGTTTGTGACTCAGTGTGACCTCTTGAGAATTTGGTTTTGACCTCTTGTGACCTGGGCAGCGGGTGGTGAGCGACCACGACGACGACTTTCGGGGTTCAAACCAGCACGACGCCCACCACCTGCTGGTCGTCCTCCTCACCTGGCTCCACGACGACCTCAAGAACGTGAGTGTTGGTCGTGAGAGAGAGAATGAATTTGAGTGAGTAAGCACAACTGTAACTGCTCCTGTACTGGTATATTTTAGACATTTTTGTAATGTATAGATTATACAACACTCCACAGATGACACTAGCAAAACAAATATTCAGTGATAACCTGAAATGACCCTTCAAGACGTTTGAACCTAGGCCTACAAAGTTGCCTAAGTTGCCACCCTAGCGACCGAAATCCACATGATTTTTTTAGTCTGAGCTAAACATTAATATAAATCACTCACGACACCTTTAATGAGTCACTAAGCACACTAGACCCAATACAAAGTTATTTATAACTTCGTATTGTCAAACGTCAACATTCTTTTTGATACGTTGGCGCGGCAAATTTAACCAACATTGTTGACCAAACCACACACTAGAAAGTGATGGGACGATGACGTTTCGGTCCGTCCTGGACCATTCTCAAGTCACAATCGACTTGAGAATGGTCCAGGACGGACCGAAACGTCGTCATCCCTTCACTTTCTTGTGTATGGTTTGATCAACATATTTCAGCCACGTTATTGTGACTCCTCGTCTACTTAACCATCATTGTTACGTCTCTCCTGCAGTCAGCCGGGACGTCCCTCATCGCTCGACGTCTCCACGGGGAGAACACCTTTGTTACCATCTGCGACAAACACGGCAAGGAGATCTCCCGCACCTCTGATGTCTTCTCCGTCCTCTCCCTACCCGTCCCTCCGTCCACCACCTGCTCCCTCCAGGTAACTCATGAGTGCCTCAGAGTGCAGCACACATTAGCACACCAGACTTTCACAAGAAAGGGTACTAGACAATCGACTTGAGAATGGTCCAGGACGGACCGAAACGTCGTCATCACTTCACCTTCTAGTGTGTGGTCTGGTCAACTTTCACAAGAAAAAACAAACCTCAAATCCAATTACATTTTAAGTATCGTCGCATCAGATGATTTAATATTTTGTGTATACAGTGTATAACCATTAATATATTAATATAACCCAAGATATATATATATATCCATGACTAAGACTTTGATCTCCTTCTTGCCCGCAATCGCCAGGACTTGCTAATCAGCTTCTACAAACGTAAGAACGTCGATCGCGAGTGTTCCTACTGCCGGAGGTCCCATATGTGTCGCAGGGAGACGAGCCTTACAAACCTTCCTCCTGTGTTGATTGTGCACCTCAGGAGGTCTGTTGGAGATTTGGTTGTGAGAGAGATAGAGAGAGAGATTTCAGTTTCATTTGGAACCTCAGTGCAATTCCCTGATGAACCCTACCAGCATAAACGCTAAATTAGTTTAAAAATTACAAGCCTAAGTGAGCGAGAAAAGAAGCAAGACTGGGAGAGAGGGAGAGGAAGAGAAAGGGTGGGAAGGAGGGGCGGTTAATAATCGAATGATGAGAGAAGTGTGGAAGAGAATAGACACATAATAGTCAGACAAAAGGAAACTCAATGTAGCTAAATCCCCGCTTGTCTTACAGGTACACCGGCCAGGCTGGCGAGCCGGAGAGGAAGACTTGGGTCACCTTTCCAGCAGACGGACTCAACCTCCAGGACTACGCTCACAACTACCGCAGGTGTGTAGTCCTACGCACACTCGCGACTAACGCAAGTGTGTAGTCTCACACACACACATACACCTGCCTCAAATGCGTAACCGTAAACAATCACTAACTAACCGGTGATTGAAAACCCATCGTTTAGAAGCAAAAATGACGCAACAACCATGTCTGATAAAAACAAAATCTATGATATATATATATTAGTGGTATGAACAAGAGTCAAAAGCACAAGGTATCGTTCAAAGGACTCATGTGTTTGTTTCATATACGTGTACCAATCATGTTATAAACGTGTCCTAATCCTGTCATACACACGTCCTAAGCATGCCATACACACGTCCTAATCCTGCCATCCCCACAATCAGTTGTATAATCAGTCCACAACACTGGCATATCGCCCGTATCTCCCCCACAGCCCGACGTACGAACTCTTCGCGGTAGTGAACCACGAAGGGTCGGCCGCCTCCGGCCACTACACCACCTTCTGCAGGAACCAGCACGGCAAGACCTGGCGCCTCTACGACGACGACCTGGTCACCGAGACCAGCCTGGAGACGGCGCTGGAGGAGAGCGAGGCCCAGCTACTCTTCTACACAGAGAAGAGATGAGGATCCAAATATTTTGTTGCCATTGTGAAACGATAATAATAAAGATGAAGGGACGACGATGTTTCGGGCCGTCCTGGACTATTCTCCAGTCGAGTCGTTTCGATCGACTCCGAAACGTCGTCGTCCCTTTATGTTCTAGTGTGTGGATTAGTCAACACACTTCAGCCACGTTATTGTGACTCATATTAATAAAGATTTATGATGAATTCAACTGTCTCATTGTAGTCCAAAATCTGCAGTTATCATTGATAATATTTTATAACTGAAAATATTGTACGGCGAAGACTTGAATCAAGGCTTCGTAGGGCAAATCAAAACCCCCAGGGCAAGCAGAGATAAGACGCAGATAACTAAGATAAGCAGCTGGCTAACTTGTGCGAGGGGAAGAGGAGGGTATAGATGGCGGCCAGTCCTTGAGAGGATAACAAGCCTATATGGTTATCTTTCAGGTGAGTTATCGCCATATCAGTACGGTGAACGCATTCAAGCCTTCAAGGCGTTCGGAGCGGTCTTAGTGCATGTGAGGGTGGGAATTGGGGAACTTTACAGGTAACTACATGTATGTGTGCAGTGTCGAGGTGTTGCTGTTGAGTGGTGACTACAGGTGTTGTTGAGTGACTACAGGTGTTGTTGAGTGTCTACAGGTGTTGTCGAGTGACTACAGGTGTTGTCGAGTGGCTACAGGTGTTGTTGAGTGACTACAGGTGTTGTTGAGTGACTACAGGTGTTGTTGAGTGACTACAGGTGTTGTCGAGTGACTTCAGGTGTTGTCGAGTGACTACAGGTGTTGTTGAGTGACTACAGGTGTTGTTGAGTGACTACAGGTGTTGTTGAGTGACTACAGGTGTTGTCGAGTGACTACAGGTGTTGTTGAGTGACTACAGGTGTTGTCGAGTGACTACAGGTGTTGTTGAGTGACTACAGGTGTTGTTGAGTGACTACAGGTGTTGTTGAGTGACTACAGGTGTTGTTGAGTGACTACAGGTGTTGTTGAGTGACTACAGGTGTTGTTGAGTGACTACAGGTGTTGTTGAGTGACTACAGGTGTTGTTGAGTGACTACAGGTGTTGTTGAGTGACTACAGGTGTTGTTGAGTGACTACAGGTGTTGTTGAGTGACTACAGGTGTTGTTGAGTGACTACAGGTGTTGTTGAGTGACTACAGGTGTTGTTGAGTGACTACAGGTGTTGTTGAGTGACTACAGGTGTTGTTGAGTGACTACAGGTGTTGTTGAGTGACTACAGGTGTTGTTGAGTGACTACAGGTGTTGTTGAGTGACTACAGGTGTTGTTGAGTGACTACAGGTGTTGTTGAGTGACTACAGGTGTTGTTGAGTGACTACAGGTGTTGTTGAGTGACTACAGGTGTTGTTGAGTGACTACAGGTGTTGTTGAGTGACTACAGGTGTTGTTGAGTGACTACAGGTGTTGTCGAGTGACTACAGGTGTTGTCGAGTGACTACAGGTGTTGTTGAGTGACTACAGGTGTTGTTGAGTGACTACAGGTGTTGTTGAGTGACTACAGGTGTTGTTGAGTGACTACAGGTGTTGTTGAGTGACTACAGGTGTTGTTGAGTGACTACAGGTGTTGTTGAGTGACTACAGGTGTTGTTGAGTGACTACAGGTGTTGTTGAGTGACTACAGGTGTTGTTGAGTGACTACAGGTGTTGTTGAGTGACTACAGGTGTTGTTGAGTGACTACAGGTGTTGTTGAGTGACTACAGGTGTTGTCGAGTGACTACAGGTGTTGTTGAGTGACTACAGGTGTTGTTGAGTGACTACAGGTGTTGTTGAGTGACTACAGATATTATTGAGTAACTACTGGTGTACTTGAGTGACGTCATAAATCATAAATATGTGTGTGTGTGTGTGTGTGTGTGTGTGTGTGTGTGTGTGTGTGTGTGTGTGTGTGTGTGTGTGTGTGTGTGTGTGTGTGTGTGTGTGTGTGTGTGTGTGTGTGTGTGTGTGTGTGTGTGTGTGTGTGTGTGTGTGTGTGTGTGTGTGTGTGTGTGTGTGTGTGTGTGTGTGTGTGTGTGCGCGCGCGCGTGCGTGCGTGCGCGCGAGTGCGTACAATGTCCGCAATCCTTTGGACAGTTCGGTAACCCATACCTTGAGACACAGGAAGATTGTAACGCAGAGATTGTGAATATAATCACCGGCACGATTAAACTTATCAGTAATTGTATTGGACAAAGGAATGTTTCCCAATCCACTACAGTCATTATGATGATATTTTAGTGTTAGTTAGTCTCTCCGGAATGCATTCTAACGTATTTAGAGGAGGATACGTGCACGGATCTGTGGATGGAGTATGCATGGACAAACCTGTGGATGGGGTATACATGGACAAATCTGTGGATGGAGTATACATGGAATTGAAGTTCATACATCAAGTGGAAAGCATTAGAGAAGAGGCGGGGAGAAGGAAGCCAACATTTACCAAACTTTTTAAATTTTCAGAGAAAATATCAGAGTTTTTTAATTTGTGTGAAGAAAGTGACAGGAAAATTGGTTGAAGCAATTATCTGGCCATATCCTGTTTGTTGAACGCGGTTATGTGGACCGCTCATGTTGCTAAATTAGTGTTTGTTGACAGGCGCCTGAGGGCCATATGGCGTTCTTAAGTAATTGACAAGTTACAACTGGTATTGTGGAGATGTTTATGTTAATGTATGTTAATTTATGACTATAGGTGTCTTACTAGTGGGCTACCTTCTACTGGGTGTGACAGGTGTCAGGTACTGCTGAATACACATGACAGGTGATTACAGGTACAGTTGAGTACATGTCTTAATTACAGGATCTATGGTGCTTTATATATAAAATATTCTCTATATCTTACAATGCTTTTTTTTTCCTTTCAACGTCAGATGAGGCAGTAAATCCAGTGGCAAGAGACAACAGGGACAAACAGCTGACAGCAGAGAAAAAAACAGCTGTCTTGGTAAATAGCTGACAGTAGACACAGCGACCTGACAGATTTCCACCATATTGTACGTTTATCAAGACCCAAGATGAAACCGTCACAGCTGAAACTGGTATGTGCAACTGGACTCCATGCCGTCAATTTTTTGTAAAGAAACTAACATCTTTTACTATGTAATACAAAATTATATTTTCCTTAAAATAATAGAAAAGTAATACATATAATGTGGAGTATAATTAGCCCTTAGTTAGATTGGGTTAGGTGTTTAGGTTCTGCTAACAAGTATAAGCGATTCTAGTGATGTTGTGATTATCGTGCATCTGGTCATTGTTTACAAACACGACGGTATAAACACAGGCAACACCACCTTGTCCTCACCACCTTGCCCAACACCACATCTTTTTACGGGCTCACCATAGCCCGTGCTACATGGACACTTCATTCTGAGTAGCTAAATCTAAAACAACAACCTTGTCCTCAGCTGAGTTGCGCAGAAGACGGCGACGCGGTAGGAGTCAGGGAGGCCCTGGTGCGTGGGGCTCAAGTGAACCAACTGGAGGAGGACAGGAATGACCCGTCGTGCAGCGGTCGTGCGGCTCTACACTACGCCACGCGCGAGGGTCACCTTAACGTCGTCCGTGTCCTCTTGCAGTGGAACGCCGACGTCAACATCAGGAGCCGGCGGCCCGACGATGACGGTGAGGCCAATATGTGTCTTAAAACCTTTACTGTGAAGTTTATTGTAAACCTGTTTTGCGAAATTTACTGTGAACCCGTTCTTCGAACCTGTATACTGTGACACATTCTCACCTTTCTTGATCATTTATCTATCTAGCCCCATGGGGGGGGGGGCGACCATTCACATGTCATTAACTCCGTGTACACCCGCAGGAGCCCCGCCGCTGCACATGGCTGCGTACGCCGGTCACGTCGAAGTCATGAAGTCTCTGCTTGAAGGAGGCGCTGACGGCGAGGCCAAGGACAGCAAGGGTAGGTCCTGGGGTGAGGATTGGTGGATGGATTGCTTGGGTCCATTGGTGGTTGATGTTCTTATTGGTGGTGTGGGTAAATGAATCCACGCGCCTGATCTTGAAGACTTTAACATGCCATAGATGGCTTTGTATGTGTGTCCAGGACACACGCGCCTGTTCTTCGTGTTTATGGATACTGCGAAACTATGCAATTAGACATCGTCAACAATTACGAAAAGGTGAGCACAAATCCATGTCAGCTGCAGGTCTGGTCTGAATATAACCGAAGGCGGAATAGAGCTTCTAAAGTCTGATAGAGAAAAAAATCCTTCAAATGGATATAGCCCACGGAACCCAAACCCCACATAAACTGGGCATCTTCAGTGGTATATGCAACGTCGAAAACGTCGGACTAACCTCTAGGAATATTGACAATCTCTCAGGATGCCATTCACTTTAGATGCAAGTAAAACTAACACTGCTATTTGCAGCGCCTGCATGGAATCCACATTTTCTCGCGTATATATCAAATCGCCAGAGAGACCCGAGCTTTTTCTCTCAATATATTTTCTGAAGAAATGTAACTGAACTATGAATGCATGTCAAGACTGCTGCATATTCATGAAAAAAGGGGAGACAGAGAGAACATGATCCCAACATACAAAACCATCTATGGCTTGTTAAAGTAGACAAAGACAAGCTGTTTCAAACTAGATGAGGACACGTGGAATGGGACCAGACGAGGGAACACAAACACCTGTCAAACACAAACATCTATCTAACGCGCCTTTCTTCTGAACCCTTCAGGCAAAACTGCAGTCCACTGGGCAGCTCTACAAGGCCAACTCGACTCCCTGAAACTCCTGAAGAACTACCACTGCGATCTGAGCGCCAAGGTGGAGCGCAAAGCTAATGCCATGCACTTCGCCGTGGCCTCTGGGGACCTGGAGGTGGTGGCCTGGCTCTTGGAGAACGGCGTGAGGAGCGATCAGAAGGATAAGGACAAGAAGTTACCCTTAGACCTGGCCAAGAGGCTTGGACACACCCACATACACACGTTCCTCAAGCCAACAGGATCACTCAGATATAAACTGGTTAGTGTGACAAGTTATTTGGCATTTGTTTTAATGTTTACAGTTGTTGTGTTGTTGTTCCTGTTGGTAGGGAGGAGGGTGTACTTAGCTGTGACTACGGGGAAGTGAGGTTTGACGCTTTATGTCTTGTACCTGTGAAATAACCGCTGGTGATAGGCATGCCTGTTTTGCTCCTGCTCGTTATTGTATGTTTGGGTGTGTGTGTGTGTGTGTGTGTGTGTGTGTGTGTGTGTGTGTGTGTGTGTGTGTGTGTGTGTGTGTGTGTGTGTGTGTGTGTGCGTGCGCGCGCGCGTGCGTGCGTGCGTGTGCGCTAGAAGTAATCATTTTTGTAAAGTCGTATATATTGAATATGACCAAAAAGTGTTAGATTCTAGCAAGAATCTTCTCAATATAGTTCTTAGACTTTACTTTACTTGAGAAGGAAGATAAAAAATTAAATGAACACAGATGTTTTTAATTTATAACTGATTACTAAATCAATTTAATTAATTACCAATTCCAATAAACATTTCAGAGAATGTTCAACAAGTCATCATTCCTCGCGCGGTCACAAACCTCTGGCAGCTACAGGGCTCCACAGTCCCCCGACGCCCAGGACTCTCCTGGAGCGCCGTCAGGAGCCTGGAGGAACGACTCCAGTAGTGAACCCTCCCGCTGGATGACCCACTTCCCTGCCACAGGGAGACATAGGAAGGACTTCTCCGAGATCGAGAGAGAAGCAGAGGCAGGACCTTCAAGAGAGACGAGGCTTGAAGCCAGCCGACCCACGGGAGAAAGGAGGAGTTCGAAGGTAATGATGATATGTTCCTTCGGCGTGTTGGTGACCCTTTTCTGAATTTTATCTAACACTGTTGTCGTCGAGGAAATCAGTAGGAGCCATGAAGAGGGTTCGAACCTACCTTCGAACCAACGTGGTAGGTTCGAATATTACCTTGTGTCCACTAGGTATAGATACAAAGGAGGGTTGCTGTGGCTCAGCTGAGCCACAGCAACACTCCCCCGTCCCCCTGTTTTCCCCCCTCCCCCGTCCCCTCATCCTCCCCACGATTCCCCACTCCCCCGTCCCTTCATCCCCCCCCCCCACCATTCCTTCACATGAAAACAGTTAAAAAAAAATGGTTTTACCTGTCACAGGTTTGACATCTATATAGTAGGTAAATAAAAACACGCGTATTCGAATGCAAAGGCGTGTGAAAGTAATCGGTGAAGAACTTTCGGAGATTTCCCCTCACATGAAAAACACACAGCGTATGTTGCTTTTATGTCCAAGAAATGGCGCTGTTAACAAACAATTACTTGTCACAGGTGTGGCATCTATATAGTAGGTATATAAAAACACTCGCTTATTCGAATGGAACGTAGTGTCAAAATTTCAAAGCACTCGGTGAAGAACTTTCGGAGATTAACGATTTTGAACAAAACGAACATTTACATATTTATTTATATATAGATATACAAGGTACACTGAGTTTATGAGAGTACATAACATTGATGTTTTTTACATTCTTGTAAAGCCACTAACACGCATAGCGTTTCGGGCAGGTCCTTAATCTAACAGATAATTTTAAGTAGGTAATTTGTAGCCACTACTGAATGGCTACAATCTGTGCCACTACTGAATTTAACTTGGTATTTCCATATCATCGATAAAACTGTTTGAATATTTTTTCTAATCAATTTCTTATACTGCCTTTCATGCTACATAGATTAGGACTTAGAAGGAATTTATAAACTGAGAGATAGAAATTAATGGTTGATTATATTATATAAGTAAAAGATATTTGAACAGGCTGCCTGCAAATGAAAACTAGACGGTGTTATATGCAAGATAAATAGTCAAATGACATGCAACTCCATTTTGCAATAAAAATACACTACCAATTTATTTTCTTTAATTTCTAGTTATATTTTCTAATAAATGTTTTTATTTTCAGGAAGTTCTGAAAGAGGAAGCTAGGGACGTGAGAAGACTCCAGGAGGGACTCCAGAGGGGAGAAGAATGTCAGTCACCTGACTTAGACACCGGCGCCGTCAGCATAGCTCGTCTCTCCAGACAACTGGATCATACACTCCAGCTGCTTCTCCAGACCAACCGTCGGCTAGACCAAACCATCCAAGATCTGGAACACACCAATCACCGTCTTGAACAATCAAATCAACTGTTGCAACAAACTAATAATCAGCTGGAACAGGTCAAGCAAAGTCTAAACCTATCCAACCAACAGCTGGACCTGACCAAGCAACAACTGGACCAAACCAATCAACAGCTGAGAGAGACAAAGCAGCAGCTGGAACAGACCAATCAGAGGCAGGAACAGACCAATCACAGGCAGGACCAGACCAATCAGAGGCAGGACCAGACCAATCAGAGGCAGGACCAGACCAAACAACAATTGACAGAGCATGGTGGTAATGAGCATCACGTAACGTCCCATAGCGCCCCACACAAACTGTCAACATCTAGTAACGACCCTCCCGGGAACCACTCGGAAGTACATACAACTGCCCCGAATCATTCTGAAGTATGACAATATGTGATATTTCAAAACTTGGTTAATATGTTAATATAGAACCAAATTAGCTGTTATTTATTAACATAATGAGGGAGAGGGAGAGAGAGAGAGAGAGTACTTTAAACGTATCTTTCTGGGTTATCTCAAGAATCTCAAGTGTTTTATTTATCAGGTTGGTTGAGAAGGTTCATCTCTCTCTCTCTCTCTCTCTCTCTCTCTCTCTCTCTCTCTCTCTCTCTCTCTCTCTCTCTCTCTCTCTCTCTAACCTAGCTTAGCACGTGAACATCACCTTGACGCCAAAGCCATACTGGAAGGGAAGGGAACTATCAAGGGAAAGCGCCAACCCATCACGACTATATAGCACTTGGAAGGGATCAGGATAAGGATTTGGGATAGTGTGACTAACCTTTCAGAACAACTAGCCATTAAATGACTGGCCATTAAATAGTTTCTATGACATGCACGGTAAATGTTTCATTGATTAGGCTACATCGAAGATCAAATTAATGACAGCATTTTAAGAGTCAACAACATCAACTATGGTGCAACTGTTTCTTTAAACGCCTCACAAAAAGAAGGGTCTAGGGAAGAAATCAGACTAACATTTTATTGCAGAATTAACATTAGAAATACGCCGTGAAGACGACTGCCATATCTCAGATCGCAGCCAATACCACAAAGAGAGTGTGGTGCTGAGAGAAAGGAATTCAACTTTGTGGTGGAAGGTTTCAGGTTTAATCGTTGATATAATAAGGGTAATATTGTATGCAGGGGAGTCTCTACAGATCTGAGAGTGGGACTGAAGACTAGAATGAATGATTGAGGTAATTTGTGTTCAGCTAAAGTAGTTGAAATGTGAAATATATTCTGATTCTGGTGAGAATTTGTTCATTTTGAGATGTACTTTCCATAATTGTTAAAGACGTGAAGCTGCTATGAAAATTAAAAAAGTGAATAAACGCCTTAAATTTCGGATTACAAATAATTTTTAAAGTTAATAGTTTTCAAAGAAAATGTAATTCCAGGGAATTTATATTTTTGTGTAAGTAGACAACTAAAATTATATATTCTGTCAGGTTAAACTTCTGTTAAAAGTTCACAACAGACTATCCACGTTGACAATCAGTCTCGCTGTGCCAGTGACCTAGAGAGAGCGGTGTTGCTATGTGTTAACTGGTGTTGTGTTGTGTTGCAGGTGGCGTCGCCCTCCGGCCTGCCCAACCTCGGCAACACCTGCTACATCAACTCCGTCATCCAGTGCCTCTTCAACATCAACTCCTTCAGAGACTACTTCATAAACGACACATACAGGTGAGAACTCTTTATACTCCTGACTATTCGCTGGTATTGATGAAATGATATACAGTGTGTATTCTTCAACTTCATAACTACACACACACACACACACACACACACACACACACACACACACACACACACACACACACACACACACACACACACACACACACACACACAGACTCACTAGTAACCCGAGTGTTCACTGGCAGGTTCCAAGTGAACAGGGAGAGTGAACACCGAGGGGAAGTTGCCCACACGCTGGCTGGCACTATGAAGGCCCTTCACTCTGGCGACTTTGACAGCATCAGAGACGCGGCCAAGGTGCTCAAGGTAACACACCACCTTGACCTCTGTGGGTAACACACCACCTTGACCTCTGTGGGTAACACACACACACGTAACAGCTGAAAGATCATACGAACATAGTTCGTAACATCAAAAAGAATGAAAGGTGATTGGGGAGGGGGGTAGAGGTGGTGGTTGGGAAAGGGGTGGGGGATTTTGGGGATGGTGGTGGGGAGAAAGGGAGGGCGGGGGAGAAGGGGAGGGGGATATGGGGAAGGGGTGTTGATAGATGTTTATGAATTATGAACAAATATGATAAATGTGGGTATGTGAAGTTTGCTGAAGGATGTCAACAAGGCAGTAATTAATCAATTTTCACATTAATATGCACACACACACACACACACACACACACACACACACACACACACACACACACACACACACACACACACACACACACACACACACACACACACGACCTTTCAGCATGTTGTTGGAGCACAAGACGAGGAGTTTGAGGGGTCGCACCAGCACGACGCCCACGACCTACTGGCCGACCTCCTCACCTGGCTCCACAACGACCTAATGAAGGTGAGTGTCTCCCTACACCCTTCGCGGTGACCTACGTCCACTATACCCTGTGCTAAGGTGTATTTTAAAGTCTTCAGGACTATGTATAGAGATGTGGAGGCGTGTGGGGGTCGTTTGGGTGTATGAGGAGAATGTATGGTGTGTGTAGGCGTGAAGGGACAGGTGTTGCTGGGCCCTCACACCGTCACCTCTGACCCCGGCAGGCTAACTGGTCCTCCGTAGTGTCGGAACTCTTCCACGGAGAGGAGGAGGCCCTCATTATCTGTGAGGAGCGCTCTGAGGAGACCCTCATCTCCAGCACCTGTCAACCCTTCATCAGCATCACCCTGCCGGTCAACCACGCCCACCCCTGCCAGCTCCAGGTACGGCTCCGCCCCTTGCCGGTCAACCACGCCCACCCCTGCCAGCTCCAGGTACGGCTCCGCCCCTTGCCGGTCAACCACGCCCACCCCTGCCAGCTCCAGGTACGGCTCCGCCCCTTGCCGGTCAACCACGCCCACCCCTGCCAGCTCCAGGTACGGCTCCGCCCCTTGCCGGTCAACCACGCCCACCCCTGCCAGCTCCAGGTACGGCTCCGCCCCTTGCCGGTCAACCACGCCCACCCCTGCCAGCTCCAGGTACGGCTCCGCCCCTTGCCGGTCAACCACGCCCACCCCTGCCAGCTCCAGGTACGGCTCCGCCCCTTGCCGGTCAACCACGCCCACCCCTGCCAGCTCCAGGTACGGCTCCGCCCCTTGCCGGTCAACCACGCCCACCCCTGCCAGCTCCAGGTACGGCTCCGCCCCTTGCCGGTCAACCACGCCCACCCCTGCCAGCTCCAGGTACGGCTCCGCCCCTTGCCGGTCAACCACGCCCATACAAAGAACCGTTGTTGTTGTTTTTAGATTCAGCTGCCGGGAACCTAAAGTTGCAAGTAGCACGGGCTATGGTGAGCCCGTAGTGGGCTTGGCACAGGAGCGGGGCTGTAACTTTGCTCTGTACAACGAGCCACTTGACGCTCAAACACATGCTATATAACCCTTCCCCCCCCCCTTCTCTCTCTTAACTCTTCCCCTCTCTCTTCTCTCCCTGGCTAGATGTTACTGGAGAGGCACTACGAGCCCCAAAGAATAGAGTGGGACTGCAAACCATGCGGAAGGTCTCACCTGTGTCGACATGAGATCAGGATCGTTCATTTCCCTCCCTTGCTGGTTATCCACCTCAGCAGGTAAGCTGGGAGGTCACTTCCACCTCAGCAGGTAAGCTGGGAGGTCACTTCCACCTCAGCAGGTAAGCTGGGAGGTCACTTCCACCTCAGCAGGTAAGCTGGGAGGTCACTTCCACCTCAGCAGGTAAGCTGGGAGGTCACTTCCACCTCAGCAGGTAAGCTGGGAGGTCACTTCCACCTCAGCAGGTAAGCTGGGAGGTCACTTCCACCTCAGCAGGTAAGCTGGGAGGTCACTTCCACCTCAGCAGGTAAGCTGGGAGGTCACTTCCACCTCAGCAGGTAAGCTGGGAGGTCACTTGCACCTCAGCAGGTAAGCTAGGAGGTCACTTCCACCTTAGCAGATAACCAGGGGTTAAGCACTATCCACCTCAGCAGTCACAAGAGACATACTAAGATACTCATGCCTAGTCAGCAGGCGTGACCTCGTCCTCCTCAGTAAAGCCATAACTAACCTGTCCGCCCCACCACCAGGTATAACGGCCGCGACCCGCAAGCAGCCACTAAGACCAGCGTCAGGTTCCCTACAGAAGACCTCCACCTGCAGGGCCACAAGACACCCAGGTACGTCAACAGCGCCACAGGTATGATGATTGAATGTTGCCGCCGGAGGGGGCTACTTTATTATGCACCACATACTCATCCTGTGAGCGGTAGCGCAAAAAGGATTACAGAACTTGATAGTTATCCTGAAGTTGTTGTTTTTTTGCATTGCTTTCTTGTTATCCTCTAAATCATTCGTGACTTTTTCTTGTATTTCTGTAAACAATGTTTGCTATATTTCATAGATTTCCCTATATTTGGGGAAGGATGTTAAAAAGTAATTACAAACTTCATTTTGGACTCATGATGGGCCTGATACGTTTCGCTAAGGTTCAACGTGGCATCATGAGAGGCAGAGAGAAGATGAATACAAAAGATTGATTGATCGATGAAGATTAAGCCACCCAAGAGGTGGCACAGGCATGAGTACCCCGATAATACAAAAGGAGAAACACAGACATATATCTACGGGCTCACCATAGCCCGTGCTACTTGGAACTTTTTGTTCCGAGTAGCTGAATCAAAATTGTTGTTGTTAAAGATTTAGCTACTCAGGACGAAGTGTCCATGTAGCACAGGCTATGGCGAGCCCGTCTGAATAAAGAACAAAAATAACATATATATATCCCGTGTGGGTATGGTGAGAGAAGTGGTGATTATCCAGTCAGTGTTGGTCGTAAGTGTGGTGTTAACTGCCACTTTTCCTTGTTAACTGAAGGACAAATCTAGATGGAAGCGGGTTATTTGTAATTTAATGAGTGCTGAGATGTGCTTTTGATATATCTAATCTCTTTTTATCGCTTTATCTGTCAATTTATTCCATGTTGATAGTTAGGATATCTCTGATGGGGGGTCTGGTTGCATGTAGAAATGATGTGATACTTAAGAGAGCCTTGTTGTTTGTGCATAGTCAGGAGCCTTGACGGAGATGTTGTCGTGATGTCTATATATTGAGAACGTTGAGTCTGACAGTTCCCAAGTAGGCAGGCAAAGGCATAAACAACATATCAAAAATGCAAAAATAACCTGTGCAAAAATAACCATATTATATATCATAATTTTAAATAACGGTTATAGATTGTCATTGTAGAGAATTATCATCAATAATTAAAATATAATATTTGCAATAATTATATATAATAAGACGATTAAGAATAAAACTAATGATTATAGTAATAATAAATAATAATAGTATAGTAATACAAAATAATAATATAATAAACATCCAAATATCAGATGGCTTCCCTGATCGTGGTTGGTTAGATGTTTAACATTAACATGTTAAAAGTGTGTGTTCTCTCCCGCAGTCCCCGCTACGAGGCGTGTGGCTTAGTGGTCCACCACGGCACTATGACCGCCGGCCACTACGTCGCCTTCTGCAGGAACGACAACGGCAGCAACACCTGGCGACTCTACGACGACGACACCGTCACCAGCACCGATCTCAACACTGTCCTTGATCAGAACCAAGTTCACCTACTGTTCTACAGAATGAATGAATGATATACAGGAGAAGATTCCCATGGGGAGAGCCTTGAAGTGGGGACAGCTGAAGAGAAGTCGGTGAGCTGAAACGCTGAAGTTGAAGAGAAAAGTGGCAGGGTTTGACCCAGCTGCGTGTCTTTAGTCGATGCTGAAAGCAACCCAACATCTGGCTAGGCTGGGAGACGGGTCAGAAAGGCGGCAGTGGCAGTACTTCTTCAATAAAGGTAGAGACAGTCTCAGGTGGTGTCTACTTTCTTCTTCTGATCTGTCTAACAGAGCGATGAAGCCACCCATATAATGCTGTACTGATGACTTCGTGGTATATCATCACACTCAACATCAGGGGGTCGTAACTGGGGTATCAATAATCTATGCCGGATGGGGGTATAAGAACCACATAGATCTCTGAACAATTAGTAAAACAAAATGTGACTAGTCTAGAAGGTATTATATTTTGATTGCACAAAAACAACAGGAAAAATCTCCATAATTTTAGCAAGCTTGTGTATTTCTGATTTGTCGTTTATTCGCAACAAAATAAACATGATAAAATCCTTGTGATATTCTTTCATCTGTTATGTTCCTAAATAACCATCTATAAAGCAACCGATATCTTTTGAAATCACACTAATACCAAATATGACTAAGAATGATGACGATATCAACTGACCGACGGAAAGGGGACATATTGGGTAGTCCATTGGTGGTCTGCATCTGTGATTCAGCTCAGGATCACCTGTCCTAGCGCTATCAGTAACACCCTTCAAACCTATTCTGGTTGGACTGAATATGGACTCGAGTCCATATTCGCATGCACAACGTACAACCCATCCTCCTAACAGCACGTAGCATTTTGACGTACACTTTACCTAAGGCCCAAACACTATCCTACTAGAAAATGAAAGCGGCTCGCGAAACTGACATACTGTCTCGTTTTCTGTTCGTGTGTCCTCTGGTAGATTAGAATAAGGGCACTTTAGTACGGCAGATCCTTGACGCTGGGAACGCTGGGGAGAACCGGCTGACTGCACAGCGGTTCTCGGCTACTTGAATCCATGGGGGTAGGGTTCACCGTAAGCCAGTGGAATAGTGACATTATCGGTGGGAGAAGCTATTTGTACTCTTCAGTTAGCTACATCGCATACACTTAGTGCCTCTATATTAGTTAAAGGAATCACCTTATCTAACCTGGGCGCTCTTGTATGTATAAAGTCTACCGAACCTAAAGACTTAATCATGTTGCTTTATTTTATCGGCATTGACACATTGCCCTGTTAACTAGTGCATTCTATCTATTAACTACTCTTGACACTGAAAAAGTTATTTCTAACGTCCCTGTGGCTCATTTGGGTACTCAGTTTCCACCTGTGTCCCCTTGTTCGCGTACCACCCGTGTTAAACAGTTTATCTTTATCTACCCTGTCAATTCTTCTGATAATTTTGAAGGCAGTGATCATGTCTCTCCTAACTCTTGTCTTCCAGTGTCGTGAGAGTCATCTCCAGTAATCTTTCTTCATAGCTCATTCCTCTCAGCTCGTGGTACTAACCTGGTGGCATATCTCTGAACCATTTCTAACTTCGTTTTCGGTTTGACTAGATGTGGACTCCAGGCTGGAGCCGCATATTCTAGTATTGGTCTGACATATGAGGTATATAAGGTTCTGAATGATTCTTTACACAAGTTTCTGAAGACAGGTCTTATGTTTGCCAGCCTTGCATACGCCGCTGATGCTATCCTTTTGATGTGGGCTTCAGGGGACAGGTCTGGTGTGATATCAACCCTCAGATCTTTCTCTCGTAATGACTCCTGAAGGATTTCCTCTCCCAACTGTGTGTGTGTTTAAGTATTCACCTAGTCGTGATTGCGGGGGGTTGAGCTCTGCTCTTTCGGCCAGCCTCTCAACTGTCAATCAATCAACTGTTACTAATTACTAATTTTTTTCCACACACCCCCCCCCAGGAAGCAGCCCGTAGCAGATGTCTAACTCCCAGGTACCTATTTACTGCTAGGTACACAAGGGCATCAGGGTGAAAGAAGCTCTGCCCATTTGGCTCTGCCAAGTCCGGGAATCGAACCCAGGCCACAGGATTACGAGTCCCACGCGCTGTCCACTCAGCTACCAGACCCCTAGGTCTGGTGTGTGTGTGTATTTACTATTTGTGTCTGCAGAATCGAGCTATTACTTTAATCAATATATATTTTCCTCTATTATATTTACTACATATATTTCTCTCTAACACACGCACACACATCCCCAGGAAAGAGCCTAAAGCAGCTGTCTAACTCCCAGGTACCTATTTACTGCTAGGTACACAAGGGCATCAGGGTGAAAGAAACTGTCCATTTGTTTCCGCCTCCACCGTGGATTGAACCCGGACCCTTACGACTATGAATCCTGAGCGCTGTCCACTCAGCCGTCAGGCCCCCTAAGGGTGTGTGTGTGTGTGTGAGTGTGTGTGACTGACTGACTATGATTCCATGTCAGTACAAATACGGAGCAAAAAGGACCCAACAAAGCCAAACAAAGACACTCACGTTAGAACCAGTCACACCCCGTCACTCCACCCGGCGCCACCAGCACCTAAAACACATTGAAAAACAAAAGGAAATACCCCCCAAGCACTCCTATAGAAGCCCATCAAACGCTTCGGGGTAAGTCGCCATAAAGAGCCTCCATATCTCGACTACCCGCGATAACAAAGACAGAGAGTGGGGGAAGGAGGAGGGGGGCAATTCAGCTGAATATCTTATCACTCCAACGGTACGCTTAGCGTGTCAGTGTCTGCCACTGTTAGTTACCAGCGCGCCAGCGTGTGTGTGTGTGTGTGAGTCCAACACCGAGGCCGTGTCGCTAGGGAGAACACCAGTGGGAAGGTGCCATTGTTGCAGTGTCATAGAGGCATGTGCTGGGGATGTACGTGGTCGAGAGGATGTTTCACTGTGCTCTTGTTTGGAAACATCGGTGCTTTTAATCAGGAGGTTCGATGTTCAGCGTAGCCTCAAGCGTAAACACAGGTTAAGTGGAGTGACAAATTATTGCTTGGAATAGGATTTCGTGTTGTGTTTCATCGCGTTAACTGGCAACGTTCGGTAACGATAGCAATGTTATAATCATTTAATATATGTTCCTGATATATATAAAGTTTATGTATGTAAGCATATGTGCGCGCGTGTGCTTTAGGACATGTGTACTCATCTACATATATATTTTAATAGCATCAAGCTCTAGCTCCTGTCTCCCGTCTGTTAACTATCAAGCAGCTGACATGATAATCATCCCCAAACATCACATGATCTTCCCAATCCAACCTCCACCCTCTGACTATGATATACTATCGCGATATACAATCAAGAACGTTAATCAGTCAGTATTTTGCTGATAAATCTGGCAACCAACGGATAGGATGAACTTTCTTTCAGTATAACTACCTCTTCCGTACTTAACTAGATGCGTTTACCTAATTGTGCCTGTTGGAGTTTAGGCTTCGGCGCCTGGACCCTGCCTCGTAATCTTCAAATGACTGGTAAAAATAAAAAAAGTCATTTGTCCCCTTCTGGGGGTTCTCTGGCGGGCGTTTTCATTGACCTTGGGGACAGGAAGCTGGTCTAGTTCAGTTGCACTGTGAAGCCGGTCGAGTTCAATTGCACATCCGGCCACTTATGTGCTGCGAAAATGTTGTACGTGTTAATGGCTTAGCAATATATATATTGCTAAGCCATTAATATATATATATATATATATATATATATATATATATATATATATATATATATATATATATATATATATATATATATATATATATATATATATATATATATGTGTGTGTATATCACGAAAATAAACACGTGATTAAGAATGTGACAATGTCAGACCACGGAGGAAAAATGAAACAGGAAATTTCCTTAAGTACTTTCGTATATTAAATACATCTTCAGAAGGTGTCTTCACCTTCATCTTCATCTTCACCTTCTGAAGATGTATTTAATATACGAAAGTACTTAAGGAAATTTCCTGTTTCATTTTTCCTCCGTGGTCTGACATTGTCATATATATATATATATATATATATATATATATATATATATATATATATATATATATATATATATATGTGTGTGTGTGTGTGTCAAACGCAACCACTTCTGGTTGCGTTTGTAGGGACCCTCGACCTCAAAGAAGACGATATGTAGTATCCCGGGAAGCCTTGTGGGGCACCGGCGTACACTCACATATTGTCTTATACCACCTCTATATTTTTTTTGTTAATTTTGTCATTTTTTATTTAAAACTTCATTGCAATGTAACGGCCTGCTGAAAGGCAGACCATCTTCTTTCCCTTCTTCCCTTCCCTTCCCCCTTCCTTCTTCTTTACCCTCTTCCTTCCTCCCCCCCCCCCCCCACTCCTCTCCTTACGCTCCGATTCCTCGGCAGGATGAGGCATTCCACTGTCATTAATCTTTAGTCAAGGGTACGTCGAGTGGTTGGCTGGGATGTGACAAACTGTGGGGTTTTATCTGGCTAGAATGTGACAAACTGTGGGGTTTTATCTGGCTAGGATGTGACAAACTGTGGGGTTTTATCTGGCTAGGATGTGACAAACTGTGGGGTTTTATCTGGCTAGGATGTGACAAACTGTGGGGTTTTATCTGGCTAGGAGGTGACAAACTGTGGGGTTTTATCTGGCTAGGATGTGACAAACTGTGGAGTTTTATCTGGCTAGGATGCGACAAACTATGGGGCTATATCTGGCTAGGATGTGACAAACTGTGGGGTTTTATCTGGCTAGGATGTGACAAACTGTGGAGTTTTATCTGGCTAGGATATGACAAACTGTGGGGTTTTATCTGGCTAGGATATGTCAAAAAATATATATATTGTATATATATTGTGGTGGTGGCTATATTATGTTTATAGCAGAGTGTGGCTTGGCTATGGAGTAAGACAGGCCATATATGTTCATGTCTTATACCTGTGCCGTGGAAGGCGAGTACTGATCGGCTGTTGTGTTGCCAGATGTCGCCTCCTTTTAGAAGTAAATCTATTATTCCAATTATTTAAGAATGCTTCTGGTTTTAGTTATATTATTAGAATGTGTGAAACATTATGTTAGCATGATTGTGTCTGTCTGAAAGTGGTTAGTTTCATACGTAGTGTGTTTAATTAGAGACTGAATCTGGAGGAGTGGCAATTATAAGGGAGCGCTTGATGCTTGCCACCACCTTCAGTAGGAGCTGGAGGTCTGTTATGGCAAAATGTAGTTCTGCCTAAAGTTAAGTCATGTAATTATTTTCTTGTTCTAGGATAGGTGATAATTATCTGAGGAGACATGCATTCTTATAGCCATATCTTGGACTAGGATTATATTGCAGTGATTATGTATACCATTTAAAGAGTAATTTATATTTACTTTTATATACATTTGTTTTACTTTTCCGTTTTATTAAATTGTGTCTGCTAGGAGCATCCTGTGGCCGTACCCTATATATGTTCCAGTCTTGACAGATACGCGAGTTTTGCTGTACTAGGTAGATAACAGAGATGACAAACTGTGGCGTTTTATCTGACTATGATGTGACAAACTGTTATAATAATAATAATAATAATAATTTTTATTTAGGTAAGGTACATACATAAAGAGATTTACAAAGTTTGTTGGCTTTATAGATAGAGCTAGTACATACAATGCCTAAAGCCACTATTACGCAAAGCGTTTCGGGCAGAATTTTAATTTTATGTTAATTATGTTTATGTTTATGTTAATTATGTTAATTTTATCAGGTTAGGATGTGACAAACTGTGGAGTTTTATCTGGCTAGAATATGACAAATTGTGGGGTTTTATCTGGCTAGGATGTGACAATCTGTGGAGATTTATCTGGCTAGGATATGACAAACTGTGGGGTTTTATCTGGCTAGGATATGACAAACTGTGGGGTTTTATCTGCCTGGTATGTGACAAACTGTGGGGTTTTATCTGCCTGGTATGTGACAAACTGTGGGGATTTATCTGCCTGGTATGCGGCAAACTGTGGGGTTTTATCTGGCTAGGATGTGACAAGCTGTGGGGGTTTTATCTAAGATAAGCCTCTAGTCCTCTTATCTCGCCAGAATGAGCATAATGGTTACGTAGAAACTTGAATGCGCTTGGACGGTCCTGCAAAAGCAAGTATTGGCTGTAACACATGAGCGTAGGGTTGTCGAAGCTACCGTATGTGTCAAAAGCCTCATAAGCCACTTTCAGTGTTTGTTTTTTAGTTTTAATTCAAGGTTGGGGTGGCTTTATCACTCGTAGCGTAGGTGAATATAGGTATTTTTGGTGCTCCCTGTATGCTAGGCATTACCCAGATGCCTAGATATTTCTTTCATCCGTAAACTTGCATTCACCTTTACTTCACCTGACAGGAACAACCAATGACTACGGCAAGCGTTGATGACCGTTGAACCCAAGTTACCGTTACTTACCTGTGGGGAACAACTAGTAACTACTACAGTCATTGATGATCGTTAATCCCCAGCGTCTGAAGGAGTCAAATGAGTCGGCACTAGAAGTCCTCAGTGTCAGCCTATGAGGTCTGACCCAGCAGGGCAAAAAGGCACAATGGACGAACCTCAGAAGTTACTGGTGAGTAGGCTCTTTGACAGACGGAAAGAGAAAGATCCTGATAGAGTGGGGGGTGAATTTTTGAAAGGAAGGAGAGAAATTGAAGATAAATGGAGATGATGAGAGAATGAGAAAAGGGGGGAGAAGAGAGACAGAGCAGAAAGGGAAGAGAGAGATGGATGATGAAAGACAGAAGGATGGAGTGAACCATAAGTCCGGTCAGCAACCACACAGAAGAGAATATTTTCTGTTCCACACCGCAAAAGCTTCTTTATAACTCATGTTATTATGTTTATTTAAACCAAAGAAAATTGCATAAAACAAAAATGGAAATTTAAACATACATTAGTTAGATGTGATATTAATTGATGATTTATGCACAGAATTTATTGGCCAGAACGAAAACGAAAAACAAATTTAGTAAACTTCAACCACTCCTGAAGTGTGTGTGTGTGAGGGGGGAAATGAGCTGTAGTTCTTGGGCCCCTCAACCCCTACTCGTAAATGTGTCTGGTGCAACGACCTCTCCTCGTTATCTCTGGCGTTCTAGTGTTCTTTCAATTTTGATTAACTGAATAGACTCTGCATCCACCATTTCCTACACATGGACTCAGCCTTCATTATCTCTATGAATAGAGTCAGTTGCCACTGATTCTTGTATGCAATATTTGGTGATCTGAAGACAATCTGGCTATGTGTGTATGAGTGCGTGTGTGTCTGTGTGTGAGTGTATATATAGGTGTGTGTGCAGTTACCTAAGTGTAGTTACAGGATGAGAGCTTTGCTCGTGGTGTCCCGTCTTCCCATTACTCTTCCTCGTATGACGCTGTGAAACTACTGACAATTCTGGCCTCCATACACGCACGTGTGTATATTCCCACCACAATTGTAAAAACAAAATCCACAAAGAGGTGTACTCCGTTTCTCTGTTTATATAAACACTGAGTTTACTTTAGCTGTGGACTGTGTTCGGAGCCAAAGTATTCCTGTTAGTTGGTCAGTAAGCCCTTCTGGAAACCTTAATAACCCTCCAGAGGTTGATAGGCCAGAAGCCTATTGACAATATCTCGCATCTAACATCACAATTTTTTTTAGACATAGCCTCACGATTATCTCACAATGAGTGATCATTGTCCCCTGTTACCCATTCACCCCAGATGAGGTGTGCCAAGGCGGGGGACACAGCCGGGGCAGACGTGGCACTTCAACGGGGTGCCAGGGTGGACCTGCTGGAAGTACAGGACCCGTCTGCCGGGGGCGGCGGTAGGGCAGCTCTCCACCATGCCTCCGCCGCTGGCCATGTCGACGTTGTCAACCTCCTAATTGACTTCAAGGCCAATGTTGACATCAAGAGCAAAATGGCCGGCGACCATGGTTGGTCCTACTTCATTTTTGCCTTTGTTTTTATTTCTTTTGCAACTGTGATTAACATTTTCACTGTAAGGGATACTACCTATTGTATGAACCACGCTACTACTGCTTGTGCTGTTTGAACCACCCCTGTGTTGCGTAAGCCATCCTGCTGAATTTGTTGCATGAAACGCCCATTTGCTTGTGTTGCAGGGGCGGCAGCGTTGCACCTGGCAGCTCTCAACGGCCAACTGGATGTGGTCAAATCGCTGGTTCGTGCCGGCGCTCATCTTGAAGACAGAACCAACCAAGGTCCTCTTGACGGGCTCTGCTTGTAGTGTTGTAATATTTTCCAGCTGACAATTTATGTCAAAAATATAATATATATATATGGGATATAAAACCAGTTGGTGGACTCATCCAGCGTGAAATAAAGAGAGATTTTCGAGAAATCAAGTATAAAAAGGAGCCCCAAAAAGTCTTTGGGTTTGTGATAGGTGACGTAGGTCGTTGCGGTATTGAAGGCATTGTCTATGATAAACAGAGGCACTCAGCGAGGTACAGAGTGCCTCGAGATCTGGCAGCCTCTTGCGCCCACGTCCCTCACCTCATTCCAATGTGGATGAGGTAGAGGGTAATAGATAAAACATTTATAATGTCATATAAGTGTAGGGCGATGGTTCACTGAATGTTTTCTCTTGACAGGTGCGACACCACTACACCTGTCGGCGGGTGGCGGCCACGTTGAGGTGTTGGAACACCTGCTCAGAGCAGCTGCAGACATGGAGTCAGCTGATGACAAAGGTAAGACCTAGTTAGTGACTGATGATGCGATGAAATAGTAGTAAGTGGACTCAGAAAGTGACATAATCACATAAGTGTTTGTCATATTGGTCTAACGTTTCTTTTCATAAATATATGCCTCTAATTTATATAGTTACTTATCACATGAGACTTCGTAGACAAAGGTTTATATCGCAACTCAATAACACATTGTCTAGTTTTAAACTGGCTTGGTTTAGTGTTGGGCTTAATGCCTATCAACCACAGGATTGTACAACACTACAACAACCTGCTTATATATAGCAGATTGCATGCATTATCCATTTTCTTAATATTACTTGAAAATTTCCAGAGTATAATCACACAATAATTTTCACTTTCCAATGGATAAAAATAATGTGGTGTTAATAACTGTTGTTTAATATTCGCTACCTGGAACAAAAAGTTCCATGCAGCACGGGCTATGGTGAGCTCGTAGTAATGAATAACTTGTTGTTGTTAAAGATTCGCTACCTGGAACAAAGATCCAAGTAGCACGGGCTATGGTGAGCCCGTAGATATGAATAACTTGTTGTTAAAGATTCGCTACCAGGAACATAAAGTTCCAAGTAGCACGGGCTATGGTGAGCCCGTAACTTACCTGGCACAGGAGCGGGGCAAGAAGCACGGGCTATGGTTAGCCTCGTGGACGGGAGATGTCTACCGTGATGAATAACTTATTAAGCACATGTTCTTACCTAAGATTACTGCTGACGTGCGTAGAGGCCAGTGTCAGCTTTTATTTTATTTATATTATATTTTTTATGGTCACATTGGACCAAAAGAAAATTATGCAGTAGCCAAGAAAGTGATTTTAAATATATTTGATGGCAAGAAGGAAAAGAGGACGACCGAAAAATGGTGGGAGATATGGTAAGCCTCATAGCATGAGAAAGGAATTATGTAACACTAGAAGGGACAATGAACGTGACTGGTATTCGTTCGTTAGGCGGTATTTTCTATGAAAACATGAGGGACAGAGTCCATAAAGACGCTGAAATCTGTGTGAAAATGTTGTGATAATCAAGCACTACTGGTTTCCTTGATGCTATAATAAGTGTTAAGATGATTATACAATTATTTACGTTTAATAAGTGTTTCTTATTGTATTATTTTTTTACCACGGATTTCTGTTATCTTCAACCATCTTTCCCTTCTATAAAACTCCCCCACATTCCATGGAAGGATTTACCTGTAAATACATCTTGCCCCAGGAAGACGGGCCGTGCACTGGGCCGCATCAAGGGGCCAGCAGGAGGCCATGGAGATTCTGAAGGCGAATGGTGCCAACCTCCACTCCCGGGCCCACGGCGGCGCCACCGTCCTTCACTTCGCGGCTGCTGACGGCGATCTGAGCTTCGTCAAGTGGTTGGTGGCGGCGGGCATCAGATGTGACGCGAAGGACAAGCACAACAGGCTGGCAAAGGAACTGGCGAAGAGTCGAGGCCATCATGACGTCCACAAATACCTGAAGGGTCACACCCCAAGCAAGGGCGGCCTGGTGAGTGACTTACACACACACTCTTTCACTGTCTACCTGTTCTATGCCTTTTGCTTGCATTCCTTCTTTTAACTTCTCGGAATTTCGATAAAAATTTGAACAGAAATATATTGAAGAGTATTTTCTTAATCCTCTACAGACCCTAAACAAATTTTACAGCACATCAAGATACAGAAAAACCTTCGTAGGTCATCAGAACTTTAGAAAGTCATTTCATCTGCCATAGTTTTAGCATTTAAGTAAGCTCTCTTCAGCTCATATGTTTTTATGTGTATAACTAGGACGTTACTAGTTACTTTAGGATCTTCCAGAAAATTTTATTTGCCACAGCTGCTTTTAAAACAAATTTTGGAGAACAAGTAAAGTTTTTTTAACCTTAGTAAATATAAAAGTTGAGGAGAGTTATGGCATTTCTGGGGTTTTCTTTACTGATCTCAGTCTAAACTTTAATATGGTTATTTTATAATTTTGATATCTTATTTGTCTTTCTTCTTCCAATTTCGTTTTCATTTTATTTTTTTCATTCATTTTTTCGATTTTATATTCCCTTCTTTCTCATCTTATTTTTCTCTGCTTGTTGAATTCCTCGCTATTAAAGATGGATGTCGCCGTGTCCACAGAAGATATATCATTCAGTAGTTCACCTTATCACATATACATAAGTGTTACAAGGCAATTATACATTACAATTCTTAGTGAACAAGTGTTTCAGTAGTACAGAACATGATCTTTAAAAAAAAAAACTGAATGTTAGTTAGGCTAAATAATTTGGTCTCCCTTCAGCAAAAATTCCACTAATTATTGTAACTGATAACTGCATGTTCATTTATTTATTAATTACTTAAATTTGAGCTTTACAAAGAAGTTATCAACTTATAATACAAATACAAGAAAATAATAATTCAGATATATCTAATAATATGGATTGATTTTTATACCAGTTTAAATGTTCCCAGTTTCAGTTCGTGAGGTCACCCCTAAGGAGCTCGTCCGGACGAGCTAGCAAGAGGCACAAAAACCCGCAGCTCAGAGACGGTTCGTGGGAGAGGAAAGCACATCGACCAGACCGACCACACACTATTGATCTGTCACCAGAGACAGACGTGGAGCCTGAGGTTCTAGCCAGGACCGACGTAGCACAAGCCGGCTTGGAGAGGACCACCCTTCGATCATCGGGCCCTGAGAGTGCTGACATAAGGCTTGCAAGCAATGCCTCTGAGCCGGAATTAAACTCAAGCAAGATGGACTATAGACGAAAACTGAGCTTAGACAGTGCGGACTTTGGACTAAAACTGACTGCAGAAAAGACGGACTATGGATCTAAACAGAGGTCTGAAAAAACTTTCCCAGAGCCGTCAGTGAGTTCTTACAAGATAAATCTGAGCTCAGAGAGCCCAGGCCATGTAGAGAAGGCTGAGAGAGCACCAACACCTCCTGAGACCCGTCAACTAACTTCCTGGCGGTCGCCAGGCTCCAGGTCTCTGGATCGTGATGGAGTACACTCACTTCCTCCTCTCTCTACTCCCCTCTCGCGGCAATTGTCTACTTCGGGATCTACCCGAGAACGAGAGGTGAGTTAAGCTCGTCCCAGCTGTTGTAACTAGTCTAATTGGTGATTTTTCTGTGGCTTCTGTAAGATTTACCACAAACGAATTCAAAATTGTGAATACACATACACACTAACCTCATATCGCACCTCAAAATATAATTAATTACAATATTTTTGATGTTTCAGCACAACATTTTAATTGTGAGTGTATGTTCTATATTACCACAGAGCAAGCGAACTCTTTCCCGGAGCTTCTCCCTGACCCGAAGGTCGACACGCAAAACGCAGCTGAAAGAACTCACGGAGAACAAGGTGAGTACCTTGGCTGCAAATGACTACCAGCCTTGTCACCAAACATCAACACTACCTTGTAACAAGACAATTACAATGCCTCGTGTCAGTATTACATATATAAATACCTACTTGAATCCATTCACCAACGTTAAACGACGTTCAAATCCTCAGATTATTTTTATGTAGTGTATTACTTATTTTGAATAAAATGAATTAGCCATTCCTGCGTGTATTCCTTCTCGCCCAGGGCATACTGGAAGACGTCCTCAGGAGCAAGGAGTTGGAGCTCGCTGGCCTTCGGGACCAATTGACGCAACTTGAACGTGAGAAGGTGAGAAGTTTTGTATGTTAAAGTTCCTGTCAAATCATGATATATACATGTCGTACCTAATAGCCAGAATCGAATACTTGGCCTATTATGCAAGGCCGAATTGTCTAACAGGCAGAGTGATATCCGGTTTAAACAAAATTTAAATAGTTTATTTGAATTAATTTTATTATATTAAGAACATGAATTGACTTAATTATCTTATATTTTTTCCAAAACTTTTTCTTGTGAAATAATAAAGTTTTAATTGTATTATATATGATTGCAATTTTGTTATTTTTGTCAAAACTAACATAGAAATTTGATCAAACCTAATCTAGCCTACTTAACCTAACCTATCCAAATCTATACTAATATAACTAAATCAGTAATTCATGTTCCTAATATAATAGGTTATTGTTAGCACTCAGCTGACATTAGTATTCAGCAGAGTTGCTGAGGCATATATATATATATATATATATATATATATATATATATATATATATATATATATATATATATATATATATATGTCGTACCTAGTAGCCAGAACGCACTTCTCTGCCTACTATTCAAGGCCCGATTTGCCTAATAAGCCAAGTTTTCATGAATTAATTGTTTTTCGACTACCTAACCTACCTAACCTAACCTAACCTAACTTTTTCGGCCACCTAACCTAACCTAACCTATTAAGATAGGTTAGGTTAGGTTAGGTAGGGTTGGTTAGGTTCGGTCATATATCTACGTTAATTTTAACTCTAATAAAAAAAAATTGACTTCATACACAATGAAATGGGTAGCTTTATCATTTCATAAGAAAAAAAATTGAGAAAATATATTAATTCATGAAAACTTGGCTTATTAGGCAAATCGGGCCTTGCATAGTAGGCTGAGAAGTGAGTTCTGGCTACTAGGTACGACATATATATATATATATATATATATATATATATATATATATATATATATATATATATATATATATATATTTATATATATATATATTATTTTTGGTTTGGAATCGTGTTTGTATCCGAGTGTATTTGCTTTTACTTGAGTGTCTCTCAGGTTGTCCTAGGTTGCCCCTTTTTGCCCTATATAAATCATACATTTGTCTCTCTTCATTCCATTAGACGCAATCCACCGACCCCACGCATGTGAGGCATGACAAGGGTGGGGTCCGCATGTGTCTTTTTTTTTAACTCTCACTGACGTTGGCAGCACCCGTCAAAGACGAGCCTTCATTAGCTCTGTCTTGTCCCTCTCTCTCTACCCACGAAGCAGTTATGTCTGGGAATAATGCTGTTCTGGTGACAGGTAGAGGCTGAGGTACTCGCCAGAGACCTTCAGCACCACCAGCAGGGCCAGACCGACTACCAACAGCACCTCCTGGTGGTCTCACGTCAGAATGAAGAATATCAACGAATGATCGTAAGTTTCAACTGATATTGCTGATAGTCTAATACGGCTGGGATCAAAGATTCTTGCACTGGAATTGCAAATAATTCATCCCATCCTTCTGTTTTATAGTACTTTTTCTAACTATGTAGTCTATTCTTGACTATTTTCAATATTTTCATTTAACTTTTTCAATTGTTGTTAGCTTAAAATTACTTCTTTTTGTATTAAGAGCTTATCGTTTTACACCTTTATTAATTTATTTCCAAATTATTTTAAGTTTTGCCTGTTTCGTACACACATTCTTTTCAATCAGAATTTGAAACTGAATTTGAATATAATACCAATGTGTAGTAATGGCGCCCCAGTAAGCCACTTGTGTACTAATTTATATAGAGGCTGGAAAAAATAAAGCTATAAACCCAACTAACATATTTTTAAGCCTAGTAGAGCACATATATGTACTATATTAGGCCTCAAATAGCGTGTATTAGGCCCAAGATGGTTAGGTTAGGTTTTGTTAGCAACATAAAATATAAAAACTTCTGGTTTGTTCAAATTTAATTCTACAAAGGTTTCATCACTCTCTGCTCGCCCATAACGACATACAGTGTTTGTACCTTCGACCACATCGTTCTGAAATCAGATACTTGTACTGGAGTTACTAACTATATGGTTGGAATCAAAGATAGTGTGACTGGAATTACAGATAATGGTACTGGAATCAGAACTACTAGGATTGGAATTACTGTGGAAGAACCTAAAATCACAGCAAAATTCTTTAGGCTGTAATTTGAATCACACACATTAAAATTTTAAAAGCAAAGAAATGCAATATACTACAATAGCAATAACTGGGAAATAATATAAATTTAAATTAGAATCACAGTGGAAAGAACTGTAATTACAGCTACACTAGTGGTGGATAATTTTCCTTCGTAATGATAAAATAAAATATGAACTGGCTTAGATTATGCTAGGCTACGACTGTTTGAAGTAGGGAGGGTTTAGGCTAGACTGGCATACATTCATTTACATGGCCTTACACTGCTTCAGCAACCACGTGTGCCATACCCATCCCTAGCTGGTGCCCAAAAGAATAATGCCCACGCGTAAATTATCCCCTTTACCCGCAGGAACACCTGGAAAGGAGACAGGAAGAGTTCATGCAGGTAGACTCTGCCAAGAGCGACGCAATCGCCGCCTGCGACTCCCACATCAGAGACCTCACGCGTACAGTCGGCGAGAACAGAGAACAGCTCTCCAGATACCAGGTGAGCTGGAGGACCAGGTATCAGGTGAGTTGGAGGACCAGGTACCGGTGAGCTGGATGACCAGGCACTAGGTAAGCTGGACAACCAAGTACCAAGAGATCCGGATGACCAGGTATCAGGTGAACTAGAAGACCAGGTACCACCGGGTGAGCTGGAAGACCAGATACCAGGTGAGATGAACGACCACTTAATAGGTGAGTTGGAGAACCAGGTACCACGTGAACTGGACGACCATATACCAGGTGAGGTGGACGACCAAGTACCAGGTGAATTGGATGGCCAGGTACCAGGTGAGCTGACCGACCATGTGCCAAATGAACTGGACGACCAGGTACCAGGTGAGTTTAACGACAAATACAAGGCAAGCTTGACGACAAGGCTATGCTATTCAAAACGCACATATGTGCCTGGTGAGTACGACGAGCCCGTGCTGCTTTGGAGCTTTTTTGTTCAGAGTAGCTGAATCTAAAACAACAGCTATGCTAATAAGCTTCCAGTTTGTTGTCTGGAAGTTTGGGTGACCATAAAACTGGTATGCAGGGAAATCGGAGAGAATAAGAATGATAAATTCCAAATAAATTAGATAAAAAACACCTCGACATTCTCCAATCCAAACATATCCCATCGTGATGGGACATGTTGTCGTCTTCCAACATTTTGGCCACTCTCATCCCTCCAGGCACGAATAAAAAAAAAATGTACAAACGTACATAATAATACATTGCAGCTTTACTTGATATTTTAAACAAAACACCACAGTACAGTACTTAATATGGGTGAGTTAGTACAGTACTTAATATGGGTACTCACCAAGTGTCCTGATGTTTCTCCACATATGATCTTGCAATGATGTATACATGAGTATGGTGGTGCTAACCGAGGGTGGAGATTGAGGCTGAGATGTTGAGGGTTAGGTTAACATATGCCAGTAAAAACTTATTTCATCGGCATTATAAATTGGCTCAGGAGAAAAGAATCGTTATGCATGATCTTCTCAAATTTGGACACCTTATACATCAGCAGATGTGGTTTTCACATCGTAATTTCACCTATCTAATACCTCAACGAACCTTAATGCCCCTTAGCCACCCATCACTATACACACAATTATTACGGAGCTTCATTTATTGGTAAAAATGCTTGGCCTTCTCCGAAATCAGCCATAATAGCACTGGCTTCTTTGTTTCGTCACGAGCATAGCTCTCAATCCTGTAACTACACTTAAGTCATTTCATGTCCGCCTGAACCACTCCCAGGCAGCCTCATCCACAATTTTAACACCAGCATTGCTAATAACTTTTCTCTTGCATATTGCTGCATCACTCTCACTTTTAGCATAACTTGCAAAAATCATCTCTTTAGCTTTCAATATATCATGAAAAGTGGTTTTGCTAACTTTGTATTCTGCACAGACGATACTACTAGGAATTCCAGATTCAACTTCCTTTAAAAGCTGAATGTTTTGTTCAGAATTGATCACATGCTTTCTCTTCGCCGCTTGTTAAAGCCCTGAACAGCAGAGTCCCAACACTTCCTAACGCCTTAGTGGCAGAATGCAATATATATTCACAAATATAAAACGGTGAACGAGGCGAAGGGGCTCCGTCCGCCGTGGGTAAACTCAGCAACAAGACTGCTTCGTCAGGCAGGTGGCGCGCCCCGACAGCCTAACTACGCTATCTGGGGGTCAAACTCGCACAGGAGTAATCGGGTCGTTGAGGGTTGGGCAGAGAATATGGATATAAGATAGAAATTTGGATGAAAGAAGAATAAGGTAAGGTAAGCAGTAGAAGCGCAAAGTCATTACGACTATATAGTACTTAAAATGGATATGAGGATAAAGATGATAAAAAAAAAAATTGGGCCTCGTAGTACAGTTGGCTTCATTCTCTACTCACTCTCGGGGATCCCAATTTCGATTGTCAAATTGGACAGAAATGGTTGGGCATGTTTCCTTTCATCTAATGCCTCTGTTCACTAATAGTAAATAGTTACCCGAGAATTAGACAGCTGTCGCGGGGTTGTGGGTGAGTAGTTTGACCTTGGGGAACTCTGCATACCTATAACCTCATATACCTTCAGCGCTACATTATATAGATCTGATCACAGGTTATATTTTTAAATATAAATTATTATCACTATTATTATTATTATTATTATTATTAAGACAGCTTTCTTCGTTCCTAGAGGCTATCGAGACCTGGTAAATATTCCCATGTTATTGTCATGGAAGTTGATATCTTGGGGTGTTGTTCCTTACTAGAAGCAGCATGAAGAGAGAGAGGCCGAGCTACTGGAGTTGGACGCTGCCCACAAGCAGACCATCGACACGCTCAAGGCAGACGTGGACCGCCTCACAGCCATGCTGAGGAAGAGTGCTGATCGCTTCGTCGGGAGAGAGGTAAGATAACGTCCAGCTGACCGGCTTGGTACCCTTCCACGTGTTAAAACACCTTCAGTGACCCACAGTTAATTAGTCATTTAGCATCATCGTTATTATTAACATATGGATGTTAATAATGTCAATACCATGATACAAGAGAAGCACAAGTGATCACATCTTCCGCACCTTCCCTTCCCTCCATCCCAGAACGGAACTCCGGAGAATGAAGGGGAGGATGAAGAGGGCGACGGGTACGTGCGGGAGGACGGAATCATAAGATCAGTTGACCACCTGGAGAAGAATCTTAATATGATGTCCAGGAGAGTTGAGGAGTTCGATGAAATCGTCGCTGGTCTCGAGGTATGAACCTAGTTCTATTCGTGGTTGCAGGTTCGCGCCACCTCATAGCCCGTAAGGAGGCCTGACGGCTGGCTGAGTGGACAGCACTCGGGAGTTGTTGTCCTGAGGTTCCGGGTTCAATCCCCGGCGGAGGTGGAAACAAATGGGTAGAGTTTCTTTCGTCCTGATGCTCCTGTTCATCTAGCAGTAAATAGGTGCCTGGGAGTTGGACAGCTACTACGGGCTGCTTCCTGGGGATGTGTAACAAAAAGGTCGAGGACCGGGCCGCGGGGACGCTAAGCCCCGAAATCAGATAACCTTAACATAGCCCTAGTGGATTTCTCATTGATATAGACCACGTTAGTGTGATTTCTGTGTGTATTATTATTAGTATTAATACATTATTATTATAATAATTATTTCTACTATTGACTTTATTTATAGTAAAAACAGAGTAAGGAAGCATCAACTTTTCTTACAGGAGGAGTTACGACTCAAGAATATGGAGTTGGAGAATATTAAGCATGAACATCAACAGACGGTGGCCGCCTTCTGGGAGGAGGTGGAGGCTCTGAAGGCTAAACAGGTGGGTAAGGTGCACGAGGTCCTCTACTAGACTTCTCAGGGGGACTGTGGCCAGACACGTGGGTACAGAACAGCACCCATGCACGTCCTATGAGGCTACTCGAGGGGTATAAGGCTAGACGGGAGAGTACAGAGCAGCACTCAGGTCCTATGAGGCTACTCGAGGGGTATAAAGCTAGACGGGAGAGTACAGAGTAGCACCCAGGTCCTATGAGGCTACTCGAGTGGTATAAGACTAGACGGGAGAGTACAGAGTAGCACTCGTGTCCTATGAGGCTACTCGAGGGGTCTGAGGATAGACAGTTCAGACCAATAAAATTATCAAATTGGCATATTTGATTGCACAGTACAATACTACACCAATTGTCATTTCTGAGAAACTGGTAAGCTGTGTTTTTTGCTTCTCTGGCGAGGATTGGGCCTGTCAGTTGGCTCTTTCTCAACGAACTGAATGACGCCAAATTAGACATTAGTTTGGCAAAAAATCATATTGATATCTTAGAACACAACTTTAATAACAAACTTGAACAGTAACTAATTTTACAATTGTAGACTATCTAATGGATTCCAGCTATTAACTGCTAGGTGATAGGAAACATGCCCAACCATTTCTGTCCTGCCCGGGATTCGAACCCGGAATTCTCGATTGAGAGTCGAGAACGAACCCGACTACTACCGGGATCCTTTGTATAGTGGCTTATATATCAAGACTTTCAAAGTAAACTTATTCATCATAAGAAAACTTGCAACCGAACGTCCCAAGAATGAGAGTAAGTGTTAGAGTACAACTATTTATTCGGTCTCTGAAGTGGCTTATTAATATTCATTTCTATGCAAATAAAAGGGCACGGCCCACGGAGGATGCGACGCCTCCCCCGTGCGTAAAAGACCCTCACGTGCACGCCACGTGGCCCGCCTGCCCAGGCGCCCTCCAGGGCACGGGGCGCGGTCATAGCCCCTAGGGCAGCGCCTATTGCAAGTAAGGCACGTGGGCAGGAACAAGGGCCTCGTCACGGCCCTTGTGGATTTGTTCATTTGATGCATCACGTTAGTGTGATCTCTGTGTGTAAAAGGGCCCAGTCTTTGAAACTCACTCTCTGATAAATTAAAAAATTGCCCAACTCATGCCCTGTTCGAAAGTAAAACCAAAAAGTACCTAATTTCATCCTCATAGATTCCTACCTTGTGCTTCAAACTCACACTGTATCTTGTACTACCCACTTCCCCAATATTAGTACTTAAGACATATGTCCTTACCTGTGCAATCACCTCTTGTCAACTTATATTGTAGTTATTTGTTGATATAAAAACCTTGCTACAGTGTACCTTTTCATCTTGCCTGATATGTTAGATTAAGGACCTGCCCAAAACGCTGTGTGTGTGTTAGTGGCTTTGCATGAATGTAAAAATACCAATCTTATGTAAAATCACCAACCCATTGTACCTTCTTGCAAATACATTATTATTATTATTATTATTATTATTATTATTATTATTATTATTATTATTATTATTATTATTACAGAAGGAGCAGGAGGAGCGGGTTAGCTTCTACGAGAAGAGTGTTGCTGCTCTCAACGACAAACTGGCCGAAAAGTCCACCACAGTGAAAGAATACAAGCGACACATCTCATCACTCCAGGTATGAGACCGATGGCAAGTACAGTTTCTATATTAAGCAACTGCCATATATTCACAACTGATATATTTAGGGTGCTACCCATTGGGCACGATATCCAAGAGTTGCATTAGTTCGATGTTGAATCAGCGTTCAGTCACCGCTAGTGACGTTGGTTCGGTGTTGTTCTTCGATGTTGCACCAACTAGAATACTTTCATCGTTATTATTATTAATGTAATTAGAAGTTGTAATATTATAACTTGTCTTATCAGTGTTAAGATTGATTTGCTTAAGGCCAAAACTTGCTTACTGACCAACTAAGTATTCTTTAGTTGTGAACAAAACTAAAATAAACTCACTCTATATGTTGAGAGGAAGGCTACACCTTTCACCATGTACCCTTCATGAAGCTGAAAGATAAAAGATACACATAAGGATTAAACTTGAAACTTTCTTGAATATATTTCTGGCAGACGAAGTACAAGAAGCAAGTGGAGGAACTTACTGACAAACTAGAGGAAGAAAGAAGAGAGAGGCAGAAGGAGAGAGGAGCAGGCGACCATGAGATATCCCTCCTGACAAGCCAGCTGAAGAAGGAGAGGAAGCAGCAGCAGCAGCAGCAGGAAAAGCCACCCAGCAGCATGGGGGATGCTCATGGTCCCTGATATGTGATATCAAGAGACATCTTCGACACAATCTTCAGAGAACCGACCTGTGTGAATGAAGTGTAGATATTCGATGCTAAGGTTAGCACTACACTCACCTTTTGTGGTCGATAGTTCAATAAATCACTGAACTACTGTGTATGTTTAACAGATCTCTAATCCTGTCCGTAGAGGACAGAAGAAAATGTATACAGTATATGTTGGTTAGCATTGTAAATGTGTGGCCACGTCTATGGTAGAAAATAATAATAATAAAAAATTAACAATATATTGTGAATATTGCCTGCAATCTTAATCGAGTTTAGCTGAAGATACAATGTAAATAAGATTCATCTTGTGATAATTGACCACAGGATCCTTTAGCCTCTCTATCTTGGGTAATATTAAGGTTAACTTTATATAATTTTGCAGTTCTGTTAAATATTAACAACTGTATTGGATTTCTAAAACAATTGTGAAATTAGACGTCATGACATGTTTTTCTAGACGATAACTTTTATATCTGATAAGACAGTAATAGGCAGTGATAAATTAATATCGCAAGATGGGAATATATACAGTTAACAGTATCAATGATTATTCTTACCGTTTTAAATTTTGGTGTAATAGTCTATACGACCCTCATAACCACTACTAATAATATAAATAAAAGGGAATTTTAAATCTTAAGTAATTATCAAAAGGTGCCAAGCCAGAAGACTATATATGCTGCACCGATTTTATTTAATTCTGAATCGCCTGCCATTATCGGTGTCATTTATTAATTGGAAACTATCATAAAAAAAGTAATCAATGAACATCACCTCTCAACCTTAGAACAGAAAAAGCAAGATCCTGCAGGTGAGTCATTTTAGTATAGTGGCTACATTCTAGACTATAGAGGTTCCAGAGTTCGAACTCCAAGCTGGACAAATAGTTGGGCTGTTTTCTCTCGCCTAATGCCTCTGTTCACCTAACATTAAATAGGTACCTAGGAATTTGGCAGCTGTTGTGGGGTTGCAGTAACCCCACAGATTAATTAGGCAACCTAGGAGGGACCGCAATAAAGCCGTAAACACACACAAGTTCACACAAGTTTCCTGTCCTGGATGAATTAAGTACAACTTATATGGATAAGATGAATTAACATTAAGAGAATTAAGATGGTACCCAAACACGTTACCACGTTACTGGTAGCAAGGCACTTTTCAATAAAGTGCAATGTTGGAAATTGGTTTGATCATTTTGTACAGATGAAGTTAAAATGTTAACAATAACTTGAGGCAAACATTCCAACTGATTTTTATATTAATTGAGTGTATGGGATGATTGCTGTCATAACTTCTCATAATATCAAGCCAACAATATGAATACATTATTACTGTGCATGTTGCTAGCTAAGCAATATGGGGCTTTCATGGTTAAAACTGGTCTTGTACAATGTCATCTAACCTAACCCAACTCTTCAGATCTCCAGTGACCCATTTGACCAGGCTACGGTGTATTAAGATGATAGACAAGCAATTATTCCAGCCAACTGGCTGGCTGGCTTGCTTGTTTCCCCTTCCCCTTTATTTCAAGCCTCAAACTGCCATGCTTTTGTGCATTCTTTAGACAAGTTTTGTTAGTTACTGTAGATTAATTTAATCTACGTGTTATGTTCAAGTTTAATAGGCACCAACTACATCATGCAAATTAGTTTATAAATACATAAATCAAAGATGGGATACCTCTATGTCAACTATCACTCAGGATGGTACTTTAGTGTATAAAAAAAAAAAAAAAAAAAAAAAAAAAAAATTTAAGCGAGAGGGCCTCTCTTACAAACAAAAATGATCAAAAGCGCAGTAATCAATAAGAGTCAAGTGTACATGAACACTAACACCGATTATTTTTGCATTATATAGCTTGCTGTAAATACTAAAACTACAGTATATTTACATCATTTAATACTAATTGCAGCAAACAAGTGCCTTAAATCAGGACGAATTGTGCTACTGTGTAAGATTAAAACGAATATGCCTACATGACATGTAGGCAGACAATTATATATAGATATACATTATGTTAATTTGGTTTTAGTTTCTCTTTAAATATAGTAATTAAAAATAAAGTACACCATTGCATTTTGGTTGAAGGAGACATTCACAATTTAGGACCACTATATTTGCATGGCATTTTTGCTTTTGTCAAATAGGACCAAGTATCAGATTTAAGTTTCTACCGTCAAGTTCTGTTGCAGCCTTTGGGACCCATGTCTGGGGACAGAGTCATGCCTGAACTAAGTTTTTGGCAACAATTAGTATCAAGCCTTAGAATTTTGAAGATGTGCAGTATGCTTGTATGTAGTGCTTCTATAATTCCAATGTTCAAAAAGGGGTTTGAATAAAGTTGTTGCATACATGATGGTTCGAGTTTTTAATTTGTTCCAATTTCCAATGTGTGTTTAGTAATTGTGTGTATACGTAAGGTAGTTTTAGATCTGTAAACAGTTACCATAGGCAAAATACGAGATTATTTAATGTCAGACGAGAGCCTGATGTTTAAGCCACCAAGGGGCCACACTGTCAATCTCATGATACCTGGCTACCAGATAGAACATTCCTTAGTCTGAAGTATTTATTATTTTCTTAGAAGTTATGCAGAGAAAAAAATTAAACCCCATGGTGTTCTGGTAAGGATATCCAAGTGTAACAGTAATTATAATAATGCCTTTTATTGCAGTACTACATGCATATGTGGTATAAACATATAATGGTAATTTATGATTATTACAATTTTGCATACAAAAGTTTGGAGCAATTGCCAATTATAGAGTACTAGCTGGTTGGTTGGTAAAAGTAGGGCCGTATGTGTATCATTCTGCCACTGTCTGTGGATAAGGGAAAGCAAATACGAGGCCTCTGCCTTATTATGATCAACACATGTGAGCCACCGTCTTTTGCATTAGGCTGTGTATCAAGTCTCCATCACATCAAAGCATATGAATTATCAACAGTTAAAGAAATTTAGGAGCTTTTACTCCAGATTAGCTAGCAACTTCTTAAATATGTCATTGACACCCTTAGTCTATAAAAGGACAGAACACTATAGTCAGCCCACACTGCATCTGCTGTGGTAGTAGCTGCAAAAAGCACCAATTTGACATGCTATCACAAAAGTCTCAAATCGGGGACTTGCCAACACCATTGAGTTACCCAATTAGCTTGCTTATAACATTCCTTTCTTCCACTAAATGTGGCTCAGTTGAAGCTCTCAGTAAAGCCAAAAACAAACAAAAATGGTCAGCATGTCTTGTTTCAGATACATACTGTAATTACCTTTTGTAACTGTTTGAGAATGACCTTGCATGCAGCCCGATGCTGCACATGTAATGCCCAGACAATGTTGCTCGACATTTGACTATTAGCTGTTGTAACAAAAGCACAGGTCAGGAAGTACAAGATTAATACATAAATTATCAGCTATGTAAATAAATAAAAAAAAAAATGACAAGCGAGATAAAGGTTTCAGTTTTGTGCAACATAGAAAAGAATGGTGGGGTGCGAGTCCTGCAGGAGTGTGCTGGGATATTCCTCTTGCAACTTCCCACTGCAATCTCGCCACCGCCTCTTGTCCGTAAAACGGCAGAAAGCACTGTATGGGGTACAGCTACCAGTGGTGTGCTCATTTGCGTCAGTTTCAGTGCTGCTGCATGATACCATACTAGTATCAGTTGCAAAGCTACTGGTGGTGTTAGTGGTGGTAGCAGTGTCACTGGTTGCAAAGCTGCTGGTAGTGCTGGCACTGGTATCATTCACAAAGCTAGTGGTGGGGAAACCAGTGTCCGGTTCAGAGTTTTCAGTGGTGCTAATTGTACTAGCATCAGTTGCAAAGTTACTGCTGGTGGTAGTAGTGGTGAGATTGGTATCTGTTGCAAAACTGGTGGTGATGGTGTCAGTGGTGGTGGTATCATTAGGAATGTTACTGGTCTTATTGGGGTCGATTGTGGAAGAGTTGGCACTATTGGTGATGCAAGTGGAGGCGCTCTCTTCACTTCGTTGACCACAGACGGCCCACAAGCTGTACACTTTACTGCTGTCAAAATAGAAAGACCAAGTGAATGACTATTTACTAAAATATGAACACATTACCTTTATTAAAAATTTTAATTTAAAAAATGTGCACAAGAGTTAAGGTAAGGTAAGTATCAAAAGAAGGCACCAAACCGGGAAGGCTATGTAGCACCATCAAAGTGCGAAATAATCAGAGGGTGCTAAATATCACCAAGAATGCCAATACGAGAACAAAAATGCACAAGGCGAACGATATCAAAAGTATCCGATTCACCTAGAATTCTATCAAGGGACAAGTGACCGCGAGGGACGGTCAGAAAGCAAGACACTCTGCACAACTGTAAGAGGGACAACGCAATTTGGACAATACGGAGCAGGGCGGCGCTCCATTAAGTGACTGTGGGTCAAGCGAGTATGGCCAACCCGCAGCCGTGCCAAAGCAGTTTCCCACCGCTGGTTAAGGTGGTAGGAGGAAGGCCACGGGGGTCACTACGTTTGAGAGTTTGCAGCTTGTTACTAAACTACAGAGGACCAACAACCCTGCCAATGGGCAAGGATGGAGGAATGAATAACAGGATAAAAGTCGGAATAAGGAATACCTTTACGGGAGATGGGACAAGAACGGATAGCTTCCTTAGCGGCAGCATCTGCACGCTCATTGAAAGAAACACCAATATGGCTGGGAACCCAGCAAAATTCTACCGATTTAAATTTACTAGAAATAAGAAACAGCCAATGTTGAATCTATGACCACCGGATGGACAGGATTAAAAGACCATAAAGCCATGAGGGCACTACGAGAGTCAACTACAACCACAGAGGAGGAATGATGAGAAAGCAAGAGAGCGTGGTTGCCACTAGGTAAACCGGTGGCCGTTATCGAGATTGTGGCTCAACCTCGCCCCTTGCTAAGCCAATACTTGCCACAATGGAGCAGATTTAGACGGGGTTGGCTTTAGGTGGTGCAGGGCCCAACTGGGAACATTTTAGTGGAATTCCTTGGCTCACAGACAAGGTTTTAGTGAAATGATTTATTAAAAATATTTAGTGTTTGGGGAAAACATTCAAAATGTAAACATTTACTGTTAGAATGCAGTTGTACTTTACAAAATTAGAGTAGATTACCCTAGCATGGGGCCCTTTAGGTGCAGGGCCCAATTTGATTAAAGCCAACCCTCGCTGAGTTTAAGTCAATGTTTAAGATGTTTAAGAGCTTTTTTTTTTTTTTTTTTTTTTTTAATTAGTATATTCAATATACTAATTAACAACTAGTGTATATCTTATAATCAAATTACGTATTACACATAATAGGGCTTACCGTATAAAGGGCATGCTGCACTCCTGAAGACTTAGGTCTTCGAGGGGGAAGCCAATTCGAGTCTCCTTAGTCTTACTGCTGTAAACGTATCGGGTGCAAGTTAGTCAATTGAGGAATTAAAATTACATAAATGTTTCATTCAACCACTGTACAAGGATATAACTAGAAATGTCGTCAATATTCACCATTCTACAAATGCTTTCTTCAAGCAAAGCAGAAATTACTCCTCCAAAATGTTTTTACATTCAGATTTATGAAAGTGATTCCTTAAAATTCTAAATGTTTTCTTAAAAGTATAAAAAAATTCTAAAAGACATTAACTTTCTGGTTGTGGCTTTTGTTAAAGATCTCCAAACAGTTTTTACCTCGCTTTCCAATAGCGAGGACAAGTCAAGTCATTAACATGTTATTGGAAACTCTTATCTAAATCTGTTATCATACTCTGCTCCAAAACAACTTTTAACACTTGTCTGAAGCTAGACAAATACAATTAAATTATTAATATTGTTAACAGTCATATGGCTACCGTATGTTTGCCTCCAAATGCACGACTAGAGCTGCCAAGTTCAATGAAAAGTCTGCCTCCAATAAAGTTTACTAAATTGGATTGCCTACAAGTAACTTTAGAACAATAATTCACCAAGAACTTCAATAAAACTTTGTAGATCTGAGGCACGGTAAAATCAACACCAGCAATACTATCATGAAATATCATAGTACTGTATTGAATTATCTCCATGGCTCGTCTAAAAAAAATTTGCCGACTACTAGACGTAACTATAAGCTGAGCAGTAGTAACAAGTATCTCTAGACATTTGCATTACTGTATGTATTTGTGTAGATCTGACCAAATGTAAACTAATTATTCACATACCTTCCACCACTGTGATGGAGTGCAAAAATGTGCATGAATTTAGAGACTGTTCTAACAAACATTCAAGAAATGTAAATATTTCATTCGAAATGATCTACCGGAAACCTTTACAAAGTATCTCCCCCCCCCCACTTGCTAAATACTGTATAATATACAGTATTACAATACAATACTACAATATAAGATATTGTAGTAAGATATTGTGACTAACTTTTCCACCAACTGGATGGGGGGTGGTGTGCATGGTAAGTACATGAACCAAATTATGAAACTAGCTTGCCATACAGTAAATTTCTAAGCTTAGAAACTTATTGATCGTTCTCTATCCCACTGTCAATATAACATGCATTAAATTAGCTTATCAAGACCAACTCTTAGAATATTAGATTGGATTAAACAATGGTTAAATCAAAGAAAGAGAGTCGTGCTAAACAAGAAGGAATTCGACTGGATAAATGTGGCGAGTAGCATACAGCAAGGGGTCCATTTTGGCGCCAAGCCTTTTTTGTCAAACCAACGACACGAGAATATTACAAACCACAACCAAATTGGCAGACACGATTAATGGTAAAGTGGCAAGTGAAAATGATATCGAGGCCTTACCAAGATCTATGATCTCCACAAATGGTCAGAACATTGGCAAATGCTTTTTAATATTAGAGTTAATCTGGGAATTTGAATGACTCTTGACCGGGGAAATGTGGTAAGTGGGATGGCACAGGGGGATCCATTTTGGGACCAACCTTTTTTATCACACACATCAATGACAGATGAGGATATTACAAACCACATCAAATTTGCCTGGATGCAAATTATTGCATCCAGGCATGAAGACCATCTTCAGAAAGACAGCTGTTCAGGTAAAAGTGCAACACTTTGCAGCAAAAACCATCCCCAAGCTTAGTCATCTCATGTATCAGGAACAGTTGAAAGCCACAGGACTTAACACTGCAAACCTGGCATGACAGGACGATTTCATTGAAACCTATAACATACCGAAATTGGAGGACGTTAATCCGGACAATTTCTTCAAAAGGTCAGATGTAACAAATGAGGAGCAACAGGTTCAAGCTTGACAAGTCACAATGTAGGACAGAAAATGTGGGTTGCTTTTTCACCCATAGGGTTGTAAACCCGTGAAACCGCCTACCCGCTGAAGCCGTAAACGTCAAAACTGCTGGGTTTTAAAATACAGCTAGAAAAGATCAGGGCAAATGGGGGGGTAGAGGGGGGGGGGACCTTTGACAAGTTACCAGCTTACTGTCCTCATCGAGGTCACTTGAGCATTAGTGGCCCCTGAGTAACTTTAGATTTATCTGTAGTTAATGTCAGTAAAATCTTATCACTATTTGTACTTGCCATAATACACAGCTCAAACACTAATGTACTGGACATTACCGATTAAGGCAGACAACAAGAAGTTGAGGGAGGCGCACAAGATAGAAGACTTGCTGGCACATGTGAGGTCGTCCACAGGCAGAGCAGGGCCACATTACGTGCCTGGGCTCATAGTGTTGCTTGATTAGGTCCTGTGAAAGATTATAAATGAAAACTTGCACTTTGTGTGGAAAGTGCAGTGATTAAATGGTATGGCTGGGTTTTCAGGAATTTTGTAAATATATTTTTATCAAGATTATATTTTTTACGACAAAGATTTACCTATGCAGAATAACCACATTTGGACATTGAATATTTGCTAGTGTGCTTTCAACCCTATCAGACTTCTCAATATAGCTAAGTGACTCAATAGTTTTACAAGGCCAGTTTATGAGAAACATCACATGCTCAATAGTGCATTATATTTCCCAGGTTACCCATTTTCATGTTATATATTTTGTCTAGTCTATACTACAGTATTTAAAGTATAATTTTCACTCATTTGAGAATGTGTACAAACCTCTAGTAAACAATCTGTGCGAAGGTCCAGGTTGAGGACAGGGAAGTGCTCCCTTGTACGTGCAACAATGAGGTTGCTCCTGGTGCAGGTCACATGAGTCTCTTGTACACTGTGAAACATCCGTGACACCACGGAAGAGCACTTTAGTTCCTCAGGCTCCCGAAGATGCTTGAGACTGCACCTGTACATAGTGATCTAAAAACCACCAGAAGAGATTGCTAAATGAGAAATGCAGTTTTCAAGCTAATTTAATTTAAATGCATTTAAATGAAAATAAAGGGCAGTAATAAATATGCAGCAATAATGTAAAATCTCTTGTTGCCATCTCTCCAAGCTTGTCTGTCACATGCCACTGTTGTACTTACGGGTGTCAGGTCCTGATGCAGCTTTGTCAGGAGCAACGCTAGAAGATCACAACCCTCTACCACCACCTCTTGGTCATCATCATCGTTGTCGTCGTCGTCTTCCTGCACGTTAAAGGTAACTTTCCTACTGCAGCTCTCCATTACTGCCTGCAGAAGAACAGTGAGAGGATTAGGAAACTGCCAAGCCCTATCTCCAAAACTGGCACCGATTCTCCAACATCTTCCACCTTCTCACCAAGGGAAGGTGAATTCTCTCCACATCTTATTACTACATCTGCCTAATTATTACAAATCTAGGGGAAATTATTACTCTACAGTACTCTAGTATAATTCAACATTATAGGTTACAACATTATAGGCCATCAACCTAGTCAAGGCCTAGGTTGACAAATCTAGGCCAGATAAAAGCTGTGGCCAGATAAAGAGCAAAATTTTATAAACTTGAATAATGCCTTTGATAGTGCTAATATAAGTAATTTTTAACAAATTTATCTTGACAATCAAGTCTTTCTACATCATTTCAAGGCTTTAGAGGGAGGGGGAGGGTGAATAATGTAACTGGGCACCTCTCCTCTTAAGGCAGAGTTCTAATAGCATTTTTTCTAATTTACTAATTAATTTTTTTTTAGTATCTTTAACAAACTGACATTAGAATCTTCTCTACAATATTGTAGATTGTGTGCAAGGCACACAATCCATCACACTAAGTAGATTATAAAATTTCACACACAGCTTATATCCCCCCCCCCCATTAACAAGCTCATACACAAAGTTGTTGCTATCCTAGTCTATATGAAGGATTAGAGAACTATAGCAAGAGCCCTCTTTGAGAGCTAGCTAGACCCCCTCCCCCATCTCACAGGATGGTTAGCCATACATGGAATCACGGAGAAAACTGGAGACAAGTCATGTCTTGTAGCCTGCACTAGCAGCAAACTGGGTAAAGCAAAAAATAATATCTTCCAATATTCTTAAGTATGAAGTACAGTATTTACAGACCTCTTAAGTATCTCATACCATTAGGTCTAATGTTATTGATAATAGGGGCCTCAAATGGTGTGCGTGCCTGTAAAAGCTTATGTCTTAACCTTTACTGAAAATATGGAGAATTTAACAAATTTATAAGCATAAAAGTAAACTACCAAAAAACACTATCCAAAATACAACAACATGCCCACTGGCAGTCTTCAAGTGCCTTGGTATTTCCATCAGTTGCCTTAACAGAGCTTAAACAGCATCAGTGAGGCATTTTAACACTTGTCGTCAAGATAAATCCAGTATATATGCTGTGCTCTACCAATACAAGGTCTTGTCTATAATTATCAAATCAAGCGTTTATTTAGGTAAGGTACATACATACAAGAGATTTTACAAAGAGTGATGGATTTATAGATAGGGCTAGTACATACAATGCCTAAAGCCACTATTACGCAAAGCTTTTCGGGCATTATCAACTACCTGACCTGGTCCTACATAAATAAATATAATAAATAAATATAATAAATAAATGTTTATTTAGGCAAGGTACATACATACAAGCAATTTTTACAAATATTGGTGGACTTATAGATAGAGCTAGTACATACAATGCCTAAAGCCACTATTACGCAAAGCGTTTCGGACATCATAGCAAAGGTGTTGATAAATAATTATGCCAAACAAAAATCCCACACTTTTGCAGCACAATAACTACCAAACTTTGCATGAAAGAACAAGTGCCTTTGGGTGGCATTTAAAATACCACCCAAACTATTTGTGCTGCATACAAGGCAACTGTAATTTTGTGCAGTCAAATATGGGACATTTCAATTTTAAAGATTTTTTGGCCTCCATGTATTGTATGTTGCAGTCTTAAGTCGAGTTATCACTCGAAACACCCACATCAAAACTATACTGTACAGGAACAATTGATCCATTTTATAATGCATGAAATACTTAAGAGTATTTTTTATATACTGTATATTATGTTTGTTGTGGTATTAAAACAAATTCAAATATGGTTATTTTTGGACTTTGCTTATAAGAATCTCGCTTATCCAATGAAGGATCCTTTCCATATAGTCTGTATAAGCAAGCTTACAATATTATATATACAATCCAACTTTAAACTACCTAATAATCAAGACAATTTTCCCAAACTATACCAGTCGCCTATAACTTGCCATCAGACCACCATGCATGCACGCATACAGTCCATGCATAAAGGTATGTAATTTACCTGAATAAATATTTGTATTTGTTCAGCACTCACCTTGAAGTTGCCAAGAGCCTCAACAGTGCCTTGTTCAGACTGAAAGGCCTTCATGACCTGACCCAAGGCTGTAGCAACTCTTCCACGATTCTCGCTGTTCTCGTTCACATCATTCCTGTAATGCGTTTAAAAGAAAATAAGCGAGACCATCTAGGACATTATTATACTGCACTAGGGCAATTTAGTAAAATATCGCTGTAATCTAGGCCCAGCCTACTTCTGAGCACACTGGATTCTGGGCCTGGCATTTTAGATTTGTTAATTTATTATCCACCCCATACCCATCCTGTGGGCAGTAGTGGAAAAGATTACAGAAGTGAAGGGAACTATCAGGGGAAAGTGCCAAACCATTAAGACTATATGACACTTTGAAAGGGTCAGGATAAGGATTTAGGATGGGACGGGGAAAGGAATGGTGTCCAACCACTTGGACGGTCAGGGATTTAACGCCGACCTGCATGAAGTGAGATCGTCGCTCTACCGTCCAGCCCAAGTGGCTGTAAAGGAACACAATGGGCTCAGGGATTGAACCCAAAAAGTCTTTCGGCTATGTTACAGTCTTGAGCAAGATAGGCTTGTAAAGTCAAGAGGTGTGGTGTATCTATGGTATCCCAGCCAATGCACTAGGCACCTACATAGTGCATTGGCTACACAGAAAAAGGACATTTCATTGCAGTTAATGCTTTATTTTTTTCAGAGTAAAACTCAAAGTATTGTTAGGTGGTATTTATTTTACAAACAAGTCCCATTTGTATAGATAATGCAGGCAGAGTTCACTATTGAGAGTCATGTTGGAAGAAGTATTTACCATTATATTTATTGGCAAAAGTTTTGTATGAAATACTATACACAATACTGTACCTTTTCACAGGGATGAGTTACAAACCAAGCGCTTTCATCTACTGTATACGACAGGTGTTAAAAGTGGTCTTGCCTGTACGAGCTACATAACGGTTCTCACCTGTACGAGTCACTGGTGAAGTAGTCTTTGATGCTACTAATGCTGAAGAGGCACTGAAGGACTGAATTTATGTAGCTGATGTTGCCTAGGCTGGGGAGGCTCCTAAGCCCACTTCTCTGAAGAAAAATATAACCATTGAACACATTTGACACTGAAAAAGCATAATTATTAATTTTAAATAATTGGGGAAAACTAATAAATTGAGCCAAGTTTAAAAGAACATCTGGTTTCTCAACTTTACACAAATTTAGAGTTGTGAACACTTCCCAACTGACCTTTAAAGTAGCTATGGTATAAGATCAGAAAAGCAGTTCTCTTAAGATCTCAAAAGACCCATTAAGGCAACTTTCAAAACTACACAAATTTAATGCAGAGAGTTTTTGTTTAACGCTGCCCCTTTCAACAACCTGATGCATGGGTGACCACCAAATGTTCAAGCACTTTGATGACCAAACCACACACCACAAGATTAAGACGACAATTTTTTTATTCGTTCGGGACCATTATCAAGTCGATCGACATATCTTCAAGCACTAAGACATGTACTACAGGAACTAACTACCCTTTGTTCAATATCTACTGAAAACCAGAACTTTTTTCACCCAGTATGAGCCATATCTGATCAGCTACAAAATTCATGCCAAGTTAAAGCTATCAAGATGCAAGTGATACAAGAGCCTTTTAAAAGCCTTTAAAAAAAAATTTTGCATTGCTTGAAGCAATTTTTTAGTTTACTTTTTATATTCATCAAAATTAGCAAAGTCATAATTTCTCAAGTTCAAAATGTTTAAAGCACTTATTTACTGTATACTAAAATTAACGTATACAGTGCAAAATGACTTCACAATACAGTACTGTACTAGCTATTTTTCAAGAGTAAAAATGATCATAATTTGTTAGAATACAGTACTGTGCCAAAGTTCTGTGAAAATACCACTGCCTGGGTTGAGCCCTGAAGGTGACTTAAACCTACCACTGTCCCAGGGTAGGCAAGGTGAGGCAAGGTTAAATCTTACCCTTAAATAGTTATCAAAGGTTGAATAGTCTATCCCTTTCCGAGAAATTACCAGCTTCGTCTGATAATCCAATGGTAATGGGCAATCCAGGGGGGTATTAAGTATGGGAATAATGAGAAAAAGTTATGGGCTATTCATGCCTGTGCTACCTCTTTGGTAGCTTGATCATCAACTAATCAGAGAAAAAGAGGGCAGAAAATGGAGCAAGGAGGTAGGACAATGAGAGTCCTCAGACCGGAGAGAAGATCGTGTGGACACTGAGCTGAGGCTCCAGATAAGACAGAGCGAGCCGAGTCTTCAAACTATACGAGTTGTCGTCGCCAACGAAACTTCTGATCAGGATATTGAACCTGGCGAGTGTCTGAGGTGATGTACTTCAGTGTTCCATGATTATCCGTTTTGTGGATAGAAAACCCACAGGGCACTGTGGGTTTTCTGGTTCTGGTGACTACTACTTTGTAGAATTTAATCAATGTTAAGTTTATATTGAAAATTCAAAATGACAAAAATGTATTTTTGCACAAAGTTTAAATGTCTGAATAATACAGTATGAGCACTTTAGGTATTTTCTTTTAATGTTTGAATGTTACAGGAAATTGTCTCAAACCATTTATCACATTGATAAGTTCCATTCCCTTTCTAACGATATATTTTAAATGGATAGTGGCCTCCCTACCCTCTTCTCTTTATTACTAATCCTTTCATTTCATCACTTATTACAATCTTATAATCTGTTCTTTTCATCCCTAATTACTAAAAACTTTACCTTTTCACTACATCTTTTCTTCCTCCTCCAAGTCCCCTAAATTTACCCCTACTCCTTCCATCCAATAATTCATTTGTTCTATCTATTCCTTCAAACCGTTACATGTATGAGCAGTGCAGGGGTTAAGCTAACCAATAAATATAATAGGTATATTAGTACTACATATTAGTTACAGCCCAACGAGATCTGCAACTAACCTTTATTTTGCTACTAGAATCCTCGGGTTCCTTAGACATGTTGGTGATCGTCTGTAGTTGTGAGGTCAAAGACGCTATCTCCCGTTGACTAGTTTCTCTCTCTTCTTCCCTCTGTCTTTTCTCTGTCTCTAGTGTCTGGCAGAGTGCCTTATGTTTCTCCTGCCAAATGGAAAACAAAATATATAGAATGCAAATATATTTTATCAGAAAGCTATTGTGTTCTGAAGATGTCATTAGAAAATGGACTTTTATTAGAACTTAAGATGCATTATCAACTACTGCCATTGGAGAAATTTAACTACTGCAGTTTTACTAAGAACTCTTTGTAACTTATAAAATTAGCTTATATACAAAAGCTAGCTCATTAAATTACTTTCTGTACTAGAAATTGGAGACGTCCGATTGTCAAATATTTCAGTACAACATTTATATTGCAGTCGCACTAAAGAATCGTACAAAGTTCATTCAGAAATGAACTTAGGTTTTTACACAAGGAACTTTGATTACTTCCCTGGAAAGCTGGATTCATATTAGCAAGGACGGGCTTTGCAGAAAAAAATCTCCAGAGTATTCTTTAATTTGGTTTGTAAACATACAGTACCTGTATCACAGTACCTGTATCTTCAGTGCCTGCCTGTCGCTCTCCACCAGCTGGAGTGACAAGTGGTCGACTCTCCCCTGAAGCATCGAGATGACCTGCACCCTGGCGTCATCCCGCTCTCTTGCTGCTGCTAACCTTTCTTCCTCCTTTTTAATAAGCATATATTATAAATACAAATACCTGTACACACATTCAATGCTTTTTTAGTTTGCTTTCCCTGCCTCGGGCTCATAGCACTTTTGTAGGGCTGGTAATGGAAACGCCAAACTTTCATTCTTGGAATTAATGAGATTTTACTCATCCTCGAAAATTTTGTTGGAAATGCTAATCCTGCCACTCTGTTGGCTCAGAATATAGGGAAGTAATGAAGCTTCTCTTTCAGCAAACAAAACAATAAATACTTAGCAAAAATAAAGTAAGGTGTGCACGCAATACACAGGCCCATAAAAGTTAAATTTTCCATGGCATCAATGGTGCCTAGCTTGGGCATCAGTCATAGAATTAGTTGACCGATTCTGTACAATATACAGAACTCGGTCAATGGACTGATGCACCCAACATTGTGCCCAAGAAGGATATTAAGGCTTTTAAAAGGGTTCCCCTCCCCCCCCCCCCACTTCCCCAAGTTGGCAGATCTCAAGGAGGAAGTGTCGAATGACATCCAAGTAAGAATCTTCAGGACAAATATTACTACAAGAATCTTTAAATCAAATGATCTGGGATAATATTTAGGTCCAAGTTTTATGTTGCATTTAAATGAGATCTATTAAGCTTCGACTCACCTGAGTGGAAGTAGCTGTTGTGTCCATGCTTTCAAGTTGATCTGTAAGGTGCCTCACCTTGCTAGTGAGCTCGGTAATTGTTTGTTCTTTACTTGTAATCTGATCTCTGAGATTATCAATCTCTTTTCTGAGCTGGCCTTCAAGACATTTCAATTCTTCGGTGAATGGGTCAACTGCATCTTTTCTATCTCTGAGCTGGCCTTTAAGATCATCTACTTCATTTGTTAATTGAAGTAGTCTCTCGTCCTTATCTTTTAGCAGATTTGTGAGCTCTTCCACCTTATGAGCAAGTTGGTCGACCATTTCCTCTTTGTTTGCGAGCTGATTTGAGAGATGTTGCATCTTATTTGTGAGCTGGATAAGTCCCTCTTCTCTCTGTGCGAGCTGGTCACCGAAATATTCCACCTCATTAGTGAGCTGAGCAACTGCCTCTTCCCGGCTGGTGAGCTCATCCGCAAGAAGTCCCACTTCATTTGATAGCCGAGCGACTGTCTCCTCTTCTTTTGAGAGCTGGTCTTTAAGGCATGCTGCCTCATTTGCAAGCTGGATTTTAATTTCTTCTCCATTTGCAAGCTGGTCTGCAAGGCGTCTTGCCTCATTTTGGAGCTGATTGACCGTTTCTTCTTTGTTTGCAAGTTGGCCTGCAAGGTGTTCTACCTTGTTTGTGAACTGTTCATTTTCTTGTTCCTTGATTGTGAGGCGTCCCATTTCATTTGTGAGCTGAGTTACTGCCTGTTTACTGTTTGTAAGATGATCTTTAAGAGCTCTCAACTCATTTGTCAGCTGGGCAACAGTTTCTTCCTTATTTCTAAGCTGGTCTGTAAGATGTCCTACTTCATCTGTTAACTGGACTACCATTTGTTCCTTGCGTTTTAGTTGGGCAATCGTCTTTTCCTTAAATGAGAGCTGATTTCCGAGTCTGTTTAATTCTACCGAGAGCTGGGCAATTGTCTGCTCCCTATTTGTGAGTTCTTCCATGAAATATCCCACCTTGTTTGACAGACGCATGACTTCCTGTCCTTTATTTGTAAGTTGGTCTGTAAGACGTCCCAATGAACTTGTTATTTTAGCTATCGTCTGTTCCCTGCTTAAGAGCTGATTTTTAAGACTTCCCACCTCATCTCTGAGCTCAGTGACCATCTGTTTTCTGTTTACAAGCTGGTCTGTAAGATGTCCCACTTTCTCTGTAAGCTGGGCAACTGTTTGTTCCCCATTTGTAACCAGAACTGCTGCCTGTCCCTTCTCCCCGAGCTGTCCAGCACGTTGCTCCCCCTCATCAGAAGGGTTCCAAGTGATCGTCTTATTGCCCACAGCTTGCAAGCCATGCATTAGGGCAACTGCCCCTTTTGGTACCTGGAAGAATGTTACGCATTAGACATGGATCAATGCAAATTGGAGTACACAGCGTAAAATTATATGCCCAATGAGAACATAAAATGGCCCTTTACTTTCTAAATTAAAAAAAAAAAAAAAAAAAATTATATTTGCACTTTCCAAATTTTGATTTTTAGTTAAGTAAAATGTGTACCTCTACACAAATAAGCTACGAAAATCGGCTTACCCTGTTACTGAAATTATTTTTTCACATTTAATATAGCCTTTTTGTAAAGGACTGTATGGATTAAGTCTAGCAAACTAATAGTGGCATCACTGGTACTTTCAGGATCTGAAGACAAACTGGCTGGAACTACAGTACTTGTGTTGAATTTTACAAGACAAGAGTAGAGCTGTTAACATGTTTGAAAAAATTATACATGAACTCTTAAATGAACAATATCTTTGTATGCCTCGAGTCACTAGTTTCATTTCTTTAAGACACTGTTCACCTTTTTACAAATTTAGTAGGTAGTGGACATACCTGAGGTTCTGAAGAATCAGTAGGCGTTACTAATACTGGAGGCTCTGCCAACACAGTTGGTACCCACGTTGGAGACGCTTTAGGTTCGGTCGGCGTGCTAGGCATTGCAGGCATCCATGGTTCTGGTACCTCAGTAGACGCTGATGACCCAAGAGGCTTTACCGTCTCGGTAGGTGCCACAGAAACCCGAGGTTCTTCAAAATTAGACAATGCCGGAGATGCGGCAGATTCCCACGGTTCTACCAACTCGGCAGGTGCTGAACGAGACCAAGGTTCAGTCGACTCTGCTGGTAATACAGACACCTGGGGTTCAACCGATTCTGTAGGGGCTGTACATAACAGAGGTTCTGGTGAATAAGTAGGTACCACAGAAGATACTGGAGACACCACTGGTTCTACCGATTCCGTGTGTAATACGGACACCAGAGGTTCTGGCAATTCAGACTGTGCTGTATGCACTGCAGACTCCCAGGGTTCTGTACAATCAGAGAGTGATCGAGATGCAGGATATTCTTCTGGTTTAGATGTTACATATACGGGAAGCCCTTCACAAGACTGTGTCATAGTAGATCCAGGATTTCCTGCAGATGCCAGAGGTTCTGCCAGCTCAGTGGGTTTTGGGTTGGCTGCAGGTGCCAGAGGTTCTTCCGATTCATTGGAATTTGGGTTGGCTGCAGTTGCCAGAGGTTCTGTCAATTCAGTGGATGTTGTGCTTGCTGCAGACACCCGAGGTGCTGCCAATTCAGTGGGATTCGGGTTGGCTGCAGGCACCAGAGGTTCAGTGGGTTTCGGGTTGGCTGCAGGCACCAGAGGTTCAGTGGGTTTCGGGTTGGCTGCAGGCACCAGAGGTTCAGTGGGTTTCGGGTTGGCTGCAGGCACCAGAGGTTCAGTGGGTTTCGGGTTGGCTGCAGGCACCAGAGTTTCAGTGGGTTTCGGGTTGGCTGCAGGCACCAGAGGTTCAGTGGGTTTCGGGTTGGCTGCAGGCACCAGAGGTTCAGTGGGTTTCGGGTTGGCTGCAGGCACCAGAGGTTCAGCAGCTTTGCTGTGTTTTGGATTGGCTCCAGACTCACTAGGCTCTGTAGCTTTGCTGTGTTTTGGATTGGCTCCTGACTCGCTAGGTTCCACAGCTTTACTGGATTTTGGATTGACACCAGACTCTCTAGGTTCCGCAGCTTTGCTGGGTTTTGGATTGGCTCCTGACTCTCTAGGCTCTGCAGCTTTGCTGGGTTTTGGATTGGCTCCGGACACGCTAGATTTTGCAGCTTTGTTGGATTTTGGATTGGATCCAGGCACGCTAGGTTCCGCAGCTTTGCTGGGTTTTGGATTGGGTCCAGGCTCGCTAGGTTCCGCAGCTTTGCTGGGTTTTGGATTGGCTCCAGACTCGCTAGGCTCGGCAGCTTTGCTAGGTTTTGGATTGGCTCCAGACTCACTAGGCTCTGTAGCTTTGCTGGGTTTTAGATTGGCTCCAGACTCCCTAGGTTCCGCAGCTTTGCTGGGTTTTGGATTAGCTCCAGACTCGCTAGGCTCTGCAGCTTTGCTGGGTTTTGGATTAGCTCCAGACTCGCTAGGCTCTGCAGCTTTGCGATTGGCTCCGGACACGCTAGATTTTGCAGCTTTGCTGGGTTTTGGATTGGATCCAGGCACGCTAGGTTCTGCAGCTTTGCTGGGTTTTGAATTGGCTTCAGACTCGCTAGGTTCCGCAGCTTTGCTGGGTTTTGGATTGGCTCCAGACTCCCTAGGTTCCGCAGCTTTGCTGGGTTTTGGATTGGCTCCAGACTCCCTAGGTTCCGCAGCTTTGCTGGGTTTTGGATTGGCTCCAGACTCCCTAGGTTCCGCAGCTTTGCTGGGTTTTGGATTGGCTCCAGACTCCCTAGGTTCCGCAGCTTTGCTGGGTTTTGGATTGGCTCCAGACTCGCTAGGCTCTGCAGCTTTGCTAGGTTTTGGATTGGCTCCAGACATGCTAGATTTTGCAGTTTTGCTGGGTTTTGGATTGGATCCAGGCACGCTAGGTTCTGCAGCTTTGCTGGGTTTTGGATTGGATCCAGGCACGCTAGGTTCCGAATCTTTCCTGGGTTTTGGATTGGCCGCAGGCACGCTAGGTTCCGAATCTTTCCTGGGTTTTGGATTGGCCGCAGGCATGCTAGGTTCTGAATCTTTCCTGGGTTTTGGATTTGCCGCAGGCATGCTAGGTTCTAGATCTTTCCTGGGTTTTGGATTGGCCGCAGGCATGCTAGGTTCTGAATCTTTCCTGGGTTTTGGATTGGCCGCAGGCATGCTAGATTCTGAATCTTTCCTGGGTTTTGGATTGGTCGCAGGCCTGCTAGGTTCTAGTTCATTGCTGGGTTTTGAATTGGCTGCAGGCATGCTAGGTTCCGCAGCTTTGTTGGGTTTTGGGGTTGCCGATACTACAGGTTCTGTCGACTTCCGATTTGCTACAGGTACCTTAGGCTTCACCGACACAGTACACACTGGAGTAATCGGTGGTACTGCTGAACCTACAGGCTCTCTAGACACTTTTGTTGTGCTATCTCCGTCTTCCTTTAACTCTGCATTACACGATTTCTGTTCTTTTCTATCCATCCCATCTATTTGGGTTTCTTTAAATCCATCATTACCATTTATCTCAACTTTACCAATCTTACCTCGTTTAGGATCTTCTCTCTGCCTTTCTTTATTTGTTCCGCTGGTCAATTTGTCAGCTTTTATTACTCCTGTCTTTGAGTCTTCTGCTTTCCTTTTATTTGCTTTACGTTCTGTAATTTGTTCACCATTGACACTAGGTTCAATTTTCTTTAAGTCTGTTTCTTCTGCTTTGATTGCTTTTACCTCTTCTTGCTTTGCTTTGAAATTCTTCCTACTTGTTTTTCCATCACTTTCTTTCATGTCTTCAGTAATATTTGGTGTCGACTGTGTCTTTGTCATTCTGGTTTTAGCAGTCTCATTCACGGCATTTTCTTCACCATTTTCTTCAATTGTTTGTTTCCCTGTCTTTGCTCCAAACTTCTTGGCTTCCTTTGTTTTTGTATCTTTGCTAGTTTCTTGTTTTAATTGATTTACGCTCACTTGTGTCGTTACTTCTGCCTTAGTCGATTCTTCCATCCTTTTCTTCATTCCAGCCTCCATATTAGATTCTTTCTTTTTCTTTATGTTTGCTTCTTCCTTCTTAGTTTTAACGGCGTTTGCATTTTCTGCTTTTGCCTCTTCCCTCTTTTCTTTCAAGACAATTTCTTCAGCTTTTCCTTCATTCTTCGATTGCACTGGGGCTTTTGTTTTGGCTTCTTCCTTCTTTGCTTTCACTTTATTCGTTTCTTCTGGTTTTTCATTTTCCTTTGTTTTCAGTGCATTTCCTTCCAATTTTGCTTCCTCGTTTTTAGTTTTTGTTTGGATAACTTCAGTCTTTGTTTTTTCCTTCGTTGTCATACCCACGGCCTTTATTTTCTGGGCAACTTCTTGCGAGTCTGCTTCATCTTTCGTTTGCATTGCTTTTTCTGTCTCTGCCTCTTCCTTCTTTGTTTTCTTTACATTTGCCGCTTCTTTCTTTGTTTTCATTATGTTTGTTTTTTCCATTTTTAACTCTTCCTTGCTGGCTTCCTTCTTTCCTCCTCCCTCCTCCATCTTCAGCAAAGTTTTTGTAGTACTAGTCTGCTCATTTTCTGTCTTTTTGTCCTCTTTCTTCATTCCTGCCTTCTTTGGTTCTCTCGTGGATCGTCCATCCCTTTTGTTTTCTTTCTCTGGTTCCAATACTTTATCAACTCCCTTTCCAATCTTTTCTTCAGTCACCCCTACTTCCTCTAGCCTTGATGGAACAACCTTTGGCTCCATTTTCTCTTGCAAACTTGCCTCTGGGTGTTGTTGCTCTGCTCTTGGGTCTTCCTTCCTCGAGCCACTCGTTTCGGTCTGTTTTGCTCCCCTTGCTACACCTTTCTTCTTTTCCCCTGGCAAGTCTGTCTTCGGATTGAGGGCCGCATGGTTCTTTCCTCCTGCTTCAGTTTGCTTCTTGCCTTCTTTCTTAGAGTCCTCTTTGGGTTTTCTCTTTGACGAGTCCACAATGGGCTTTTCGCCTTTCTTTGAAAAGGCTTTTTTAATCTCCAGTGGCTTTGGAATAATATCAGGCAGGTTTGAAGTTTGAATGTCCTTGGTGTCATTACCAAACTGTGCGTCTGCATTCGTTAAATTTTGCTCTATAATGCCATCTCCTGATTTGTTCATTTTCTTCAATTTCTCATCTGTCCATTCCTTATTTCCTCTTGATAATATCCGTGTATTGATAGAGTTTAGATCCATCTTGTGAGTACTCTCTCCTTTGCCTCGTGTGGCAGTAGTGAAGGCAGTTGCTCTGGTGTAGGAAGCAAGTTTTGCCTGAATTGACTCGCTGCTCAAGTTTCCAGCTTGAGTATGACTTTGTGGCCGCTTGTTCTGAAAGTAGTAAGCTTGCATTATTATTATTATTATTATTATTATTAATTTTTTTTTTTTTTTTTTTTTTTTTATTACACAATTCTTTGTAGTGTTATGATGGGTTCTGTACAGTAACACAGAAACAAGCGTTTTAAAAAAATACTAAATATTCGCCTCAACTTTGTTCATGAAAGGAAATGGAAATAAATTTACCATTTATTAAGAAGTTTCCCAGGAAACCCATTATTATTACAATAAGAAATGATTGAAGCATTAACAACTACCTGCCTACTTCAATCTACATGAAACTATGGTTTCACTTCATGAAGGTCGGCATTCACTTCCCGACCATCCAAGTGGTTGGGCACTATTCCTTCCCTCCTGTCCCACCCGAAATCCGTATCCCTTAAAAGTGCTATATAGTGGTAATGGCTTGGCACTTTCTCCTGATAATTCCCTTTCCTCCCTACCTTTTCATATTCAAACTACCTCAAACAATTTTAAATTAGGACTACAATGCACTTGCAGATTAGGTAATCACACCCCAAAAAAATATCCAGAAGTGCTTTTGCAGGCCAGTTGTACCTTATTAAACATTTTGATTTTGATTTGATTTGGTTACTTTCTTCAACTTACCATCTTTGCAATAAACCGCAGGAATTTCTGAACCTTGCGGTGGTACCTGGCCCTTGGATAGTACTGAGCTGTCCGGCCAGCCTTGTCAGTCAAGTCATATCTGACCCCATTATAGACGAGCCACTTCACCAGGTCCAGGTCACCATGGGCAGCAGCATGGTGGAGGGTAGTAGACCAGTCAGTGGCAACCCGGGAAGACAAGTCACACCCGTGATCACGAAGCACCTCCAGCACTTTCTTGCGACCTCGGGTTGCAGCGCGGTGCACTGGCTGCATTCCTGAAGCAAGTGGATTTACCAATTAAGAATAGTCTGGACACGAGACCAGTCATCGTATTTCCTGACCTATTATAGTTGTGTATACTTTCAGGACTTCAGTAATGTCAACCTATTAGTTTCCATTATTGTTAGGAGACAGGAAGCCCGTTTGGCTTATCGAGGCTTTCCGGCGCCAATAACCCTCTAGAGAATGCAACCTACAATAGTTGCCCAATTCCTTGATACTCTTTTACTACTAGGAGAGTAAAGGCATTAGGTACATGGCCAAGAAAAATGTTCAAATGAACAGTAGTCTACATACAGTATTTTATTCACAATAGGGGTCGGTGTTTACTTCCTTGGCAGGACACTACCAGGAAAATTACCTTTCACTTCATGCCTCTGTTCACCTACCAGTATATAGGTACAGTACCTTGAAGCTAAGTAGCTGTAGCAGGTTGCACCCTGGGAAAGGTCTGATTGGTTGGGAACCTACAGCCTTAGGGGGTGGCCTTTCATGCTGCCCAGTACAGTCTTTGAAAGCATTTCATAATCCACGTGAAATACTAGTAAAACCTTGCATAACATGATTAAGGCAATGCAATTGAAAACCTGTCATGTTTAGTCAAAACATTATTTATGTACAAGAGGGTACACTGGGTTTCAAGAGTACATAACATTGGTGTTTTTATAGTCTTGCAAAGCCACTAACATACATAGCGTGTCGGGCAGATTCTTAATCTAACGAGTAATTACAAGGTACATTGCAGCAGAATTTTATTTCAAACATTACTAAAATATTTATAATAATGATTATGCTGGTGATGTTGCAAGTCTTGCTGAAGTACTCTTCAATTCAGAAGCACTCTTCATGCTATAAAGAGCATGTTTAAAGGTACTGTACAAGCATGTTTTCTTACAAGCATAAGAACCTGCCCGAAACGCTGCGCGTACTAGTTTTATTTATTTATTTATTTATGCATATACAAGAATGTACATAAGGAATGTGAGGATACAATTATGGTAATTACAGTCTTGTAAAGCCACTAGCACGCGCAGCGTTTCGGGCAGGTCCTTAATCTAAGAAAATTTTAAGGAGGTAAATACTTGCAAAATTTATAGACAAAAAAATGATAACAGATTACATGGAATGAAAAAAAAAAAGATGAGAGAAAATTATAGGTACAGTATATTAAAGCACATAGGTAGCTATGATTGATTGCAATGACAGCTTAAAATGGTAGTTGACAACAAATTGGTAGGCACAATGCAGCAGAAACAATATAAGATTGATTGCAATGACAGCTTGAATGGTAGTTGACAAAAATTGGTAGTCACAATACAGCATATGGCTAGCACATAAAAGAAGACAGCAATGAACACAATGATAAGGTTGTTTGATATTACATAAAAATTAGGAGATTGGGTACCACTAGGTACAGAGCAAATTTAAAGCTCAGTGTAGGAAACTAAATAGATGAAGTTAGGTACTTTTTGGTTTTGCTTTTAAATAAGGCAAAAGTTTTACAGTTTTTCAATTCACTAGGGAGTGAGTTCCATAGACTAGGTCCCTTAATTTGCATAGAGTGTTTACACAGATTAAGTTTGACCCTGGGGATATCAAAGAGATATTTATTTCTGGTGTGGTGATAATGGGTCCTATTACATCTGTCCAGGGAGAGTTTCAGAGCATGGTTTGCATTTAAGAACAGGGTTTTGTAAATGTAGTTGACACAAGAGAATGTGTGGAGGGAGTTAATATTTAGCAAGTTTAGAGATTTAAACAAGGGAGCTGAGTGTTGTCTGAAAGCAGAGTTAGTTATTATTCTGATAGCAGATTTTTGCTGTGTGATGATGGGCTTAAGGTGGTTTGCAGTGGTAGACCCCCATGCACAGATACCATAATTAAGATAGGGGTAGATTAGTGCATAATATAGTGAGAGGAGAGCAGAGTTAGGAACATAATATCTGATTTTGGAGAGTATACCAACTGTCTTAGAGACTTTCTTAGTTATGTGTTGAATGTGGGTGCTGAAGTTGAGTCTCTTGTCTAGGAATAGGCCAAGAAACTTGCCATCATTTTTATTACTGATGTTAATGTTGTCTATCTGTAGCTGAATTGCATTTGATGATTTGCTTCCAAATAAGATGTAGTAAGTCTTTTCGATGTTTAATGTTAGTTTGTTCGTTGACATCCATAAGTGGACTTTTTTTAATTCATTATTCACAACATTATTTAGTGTATGTGGGTTGAGGTTTGAGTAGATAAGGGTAGTATCGTCAGCAAACAATATAGGTTTGAGAATATTAGAGACATTAGGCAGATCGTTTATATATATAAGAAATAGAAGAGGTCCTAAGATGCTGCCCTGTGGCACTCCAACGGTAATTGGTAGAGTGGAAGAAGTTTTATCATTGATGGTTACATATTGGTGTCTGTCACTAAGATAGGATCGGATGTAGTCAAGGGCAAGGCCTCGGATTCCATAATGCTGGAGTTTAAATAAGAGGTAGTTGTGATTAACAGTATCAAAGGCTTTTCTTAGGTCAATGAAGAGTCCAATCGGAAACTCATTTTTGTCAAGGGCTGAGTAGATAATGTCAAGGAGACTAATGATTGCATCATTGGTACTCTTTTGGGACCGGAAGCCAAACTGGCAGGGGCTGAGTATGTCGAATTTTACGAGGTAGGAATAGAGCTGTTTGTAAATAATTTTTTCAAATATTTTTGATAGAATGGGTAGATTTGATATTGGTCTATAATTGTTTATGTCCGCCGGATTGCCTCCTTTATGGACTGGCGTTACTCTTGCTTTTTTGAGGATATCAGGGAAGGTGTGACACTCTATAGATTTGTTGAACAGTAGTGCTATGGGTGGGGCAAGGGCATGGGAGGCTCTCTTGTACACAATGGACGGAATTTCACTGGTGTTCCCTGCCTTGGTTTTTAGAGAGTGTATGATGGACACAACATCTGCCGGGCTGATTGGTGAAAGGAGAAGAGAGTTTGGATAGCTGCCTGAGAGATATGTGTTAATATGTGTCTGAGTCTGTGGGATTTTACTGGCAAGATTAGCACCAACCGATGAAAAGAAACTATTAAATTCATTTGCCATTTCTAAATCAGTTGACGGTATATCCCCATCCTTGTAGAGTTTTATTTGGTTATGTGAGTGTTTAGTTCCTAGGATACTAGAGATAGTTTTCCAAGTGTTTTTCATGTTGCCTTTTGCTTCATTGAATCTATTCACATAATATGCAAGTTTTGCCTTTCTTATGATACTGGTAAGCATTGATGAGTACCTTTTAGCTACTTCCTTTGAAACTAGGCCAATCCTAACTTTCTTTTCATATTCATGTTTCTTGTTGATTGAGTTGAGAATGCCATTTGTGAGCCATGGATTGTTTAATCTTTTGTCAGTTACTTGCTTTGTAAGAAGGGGACAATGAAGGTTGTAGAGGCTTAGAGTTTTGGAGAGGAAGAGGTTAGCTAATGAATTTATATCATGGGTATTATTGAATTCAGAATCCCAGTTAATATTGTGAAGTGCCTCTGTAAGATTGTCTAAAGCTGATTCACTGTGTAGCCTAAATGAAAATTTCTTGCTTTTTGGTGGTGTTATGTCCATGTTCGCTATGAGAAAGGTAGGATAGTGGTCAGTTGTTCTGTCGTAGATTATACCAGATACAAGGGGAGCTGTTATGTTTGTCCATATGTGGTCCAAGGTAGTGGCTGATGTTTGAGTGACTCGGGTAGGTTTGGTGATAGTGGGGATTAGCATACAGGAGTTCATGCTGTTAAGGAAATAGTCAACTTGAGAGCAGTTTTGTTGACCCAGGTCAATATTAAAGTCTCCTCCCAGAATGATGTGGTTTTTGTTGAGATTGTTGTTTATAATAAGATTCCTTAGGTTGTCTGAGAAAGAAGCTATGTTAGTATTAGGAAATCTATAGATGGCTCCAATAGTCAAAGAGGATTTAAGGGATTTAATTGTAAACTGAGCAAAAGTATATTCACAGTAGTCATCTCTGTCACTAACAACACTGTTGCAGATAAATGTATCTCTGTAATATATAGCTGTGCCACCACCTTTTTTATTAGGCCTACAGTTATGAATGGCTTTATAACCAGCTAAGTTGTAGAGTTGGGTATAGTCTTTATTTAGCCAAGTTTCTGTTAAAATAATGAACGATAGGTTAGTACCTAGTGCTGTGAGTAGTGCATTTAAATCGTCAAAATGTTTACCAAGTGATCTAACATTTTGGTTATAAACTGATAGATAGGTGCTATTTTGGAGTTTGTTTTTAGCCTGGTGTGCTGTGAAATACTTACAATAATGATGATCAATGTGCTGGTTGGTATAGATATGAGACAGAAGATTTTGATCAGGATCAATATCAGTGTGCATAGAGATGCAGAGGGATCACGATACAAGATACACGATAAAGCAAAACACAAGAATAAGAGCAGATACAATAAAATAGTAACAATTTAGAAGTAAAATAAAGATCCAATAGATAGCCAGGGAGGACACAGAAGTTACATAAAATAAAAGTGGCTTTACAAGACTAATTACCATATTATGTATCCTCACATTCCCAATGTACCTTCTTGTATATGCATAAGTAAATAAATAAATACAGTATTGGCAATAAGCCACCATCGCTATCCTACTTTTAAAATGCAGCCTTATTTAGTCTTCACTAAGCGAAAAATATGGATTTAGTGTGAAAAGGTTCCCCATCCCTGGCCTCGGAGAGACTTGATAAGCCAAAGTATAATATTCCCATCTCCAACTATAGGAAATAACTTGCATTGAGTGTAAATACAAGTCATTGTGTAATTCATGTTTTTACATGTATACTGTACGTACATGAATTGTTTGTTCCTGCATCTGCTCACTTAGGCATTTAGCTATGTAAAATAAAACATAGCAGTAGTTTTAGTTTTAATTTTCATGTGTTGGGAACATTGAGAAAAGCAGGAATTGCTGGGGAAGGGAGTGTTTGAAAAAGCTGAAAACACAACCCACCCTCATAAAATGAGGGTACTTTGAAACCATTTTGTCACACATACAAAAACTGAACTGTCGCAGCCTTACCATTGTAATCAAAGACATCAGCATCAGCCCCGGCAGCCAGTAGCACCCTCAGCACACGACTGTAACCCCCCTCAGCTGCCAGATGGACAGGTGTTGCTCCTGTAGGGGAAAATATTCAGTGGCGACAATGAAATATAGTGAGGGGGAGGGGGGAGGGTGTGAACATAAAGTTCAGAAATCAAGAACAGTGAAGAATACCGAATGAGAGATTTTATTTAGAATTCAAAACTATTTACAGGCAAGCGCATCAGCATTTATTCTAAATATACAAATATTTGTTTATATCAACTGGTTAGCAAACATTTGTGGCAATTTAATATCTGGAACACCGATTCAAATTCCTAAATTCAATTCCTAAATAAAATATTAAATATATAATAAAGCATCAAACTAAGTAAACCCATTCAAACATCAACAAAATATTTAGAAAAGGTGCCTGGTGAGCGGGCAACTTATTCTTCCAGTGGACCTAATCCGTATGAAAAATGATCAACAATTTGTTTAGGTACTTGTGCAAACATTAACTGAAGATGGGAAACTATGGAATTTCCGATAAATTCAGAGAACGCCTCTTGTACCTTAGAAATAAGTTATTTTTCCCTTGGGTAATCATGAGAAACGCACATCTATTGGTTTATCACCATCTCTATTTCATGCAACACCCACGGATATGACTTTACGAGTTGCTTGAAAAATGGTGGCAACCCAACGATGCTGCCAAGACCAAGGGAGCAGGATCTATATGCCTAGGTCAAAGTCTCCACAGTAAAGAAGACAGTTCAGATGAACCATTTACTACTACAGACTGTCATATCACTTTGCCCGCGTGCACACAAAGTGGGAAGAGGCAAATCACAGGAGTGGGGGAGGGGGGACACGGAAGAGGCAAACCACACGAGGGGATGGGGGGGGGGGGGGGGAGAGAGACAAACCACACGAGAGGGGAGGGGAGGAAGAGGCAAACCACACGAGAGGGGAGGGGGGGAAGAGGCAAACCACATGAGAGGGGAGGGGATGGGGGGGGAAGAGGCAAACCACACGAGAGGGGATGGGGGGGGGGGAAGAGGCAAACCACACAAGAGGGTAGGGGGAGGGGAAGAGGCAAACCACACAAGAGGGGATGGGGGGGGGAAGAGGCAAACCACACGAGATGAGATGGGATGGGGGGGGAGGCAAACCACACGAGATGAGATGGGATGGGGGGGGAGAGGCAAACCACACGAGAGGGGATGGGGGGGAAGAGGCAAACCACACGAGATGAGATGGGATGGGGGGGGGGGGAGGCAAACCACACGAGAGGGGATGGGGGGGGGAAGAGGCAAACCACACGAGATGAGATGGGATGGGATGGGGGGGGGGGAGAGGCAAACCACACGAGAGGGGATGGGGGGGGGGAGGCAAACCACACGAGAGGGGATGGGGGGGGGGGGGGGAAGAGGCAAACCACACGAGAGGGGATGGGGAAAGAGGCAAACCACACGAGAGGGGATGGGGAGGGGAGGGGCAAACCACACGAGAGGGGATGGGGGGGGGGAAGAGGCAAACCACACAAGAGGGTAGGGGGGGGGAAGAGGCAAACCACACAAGAGGGTAGGGGGGGGGGGGAAGAGGCAAACCACACAAGAGGGGATGGGGGGGGGGAAGGAGGCAAACAACACGAGAGGGGAGGGGTGGGGTAAGAGGCAAACAACACGAGATGAGATGGGATGGGGGGGGGGAGGCAAACCACACGAGAGGGGATGGGGGGGGGAAGAGGCAAACCACACGAGATGAGATGGGATGGGATGGGGGGGGGAGAGGCAAACCACACGAGAGGGGATGGGGGGGGGGGGAAGAGGCAAACCACACGAGAGGGGATGGGGGGGGGGAAGAGGCAAACCACACGAGAGGGGATGGGGAAAGAGGCAAACCACACGAGAGGGGATGGGGGGGGGGGAAGGGGCAAACCACACGAGAGGGGATGGGGGGGTGGGAAGGGGCAAACCACACGAGAGGGGATGAGGGGGGGGGAAGGGGCAAACCACACAAGAGGGTAGGGGGGGGGGAAGAGGCAAACCACACAAAAGGGTAGGGGGGGGGAAGAGGCAAACCACACGAGAGGGGATGGGGGGGGGAAGAGGCAAACAACACGAGTGGATGGGAAAGGGGGAGGGAGAAAGACAAACCCCGCGAGTGAGGGGGGGGGGGGGGAGAGGCAATTAAACCACACGAGAAGGAAGGGGGGGGGGGTAAGAGGCAAGTCACAGGAGGAGGGGGGGAGCGAAAATGCAAACCACAGGAGTAAAGAGGGGGTGAAAGAGGCAAACCACAGGAGTGGAGATGGATGAGGCAATTTAACCACAGGAGTGGGGGGGGAAGCAAAGCAAACCACAGGAGTGGGGAGGGGGGGAGAAGAGGCAAACCACCAAGAGGGGTGGGGGAGGAGGGGCAAACTCCTGAAAGGGGTGAGGGGTAAGAGGGGTGGGAAGAAGGAGAGGCAAACCACAAAGAGGGGAGGAGGGGGGAGTGAGAAACCACAAAGAGGTGGAGGGAAGGGGGTTTAGAGACAAACTACTGACCTGCATCGCCGCCATGCCTACTAACACTGTTAGGGTTGGAGCCATGAGCGAGCAGCAGCTTCGCCACTTCGACATGGCCACCAGCACAAGCATGATGCAGGGGCTCGCGGGACATGGCGTCGTCTGGGAGTGCTGCTTGAGCCCCCTCTTCCAGTGCCCGTTCCACCCCATCCGTGTCGCCCACCCTGGCACTGCAGTGCTAGAGATGTAGCAGGAATAGCATGTCAGAGGGCTAAAAATAATTACCCAATCTTTATGAACCTAGAATATTCATCTTCGAGGAATTAACACAAAAGGATCAAAATACAAATGGTTACTTTGTAGGTAGAGTATTTTGACATTTTATGCCAGTATTAATGGCACGTACAGCTTCATTAATATGAATAAATTAAGTTCCACTTTTCAGGTAAGTGCACTTTATTCTTTGCAAAAATGATGCTAATATCGAGTGATTAAAGAAATTTGGCAAATGACAGTTTTCTAAAGTGGTACTTAATATTTAAAGATGCATATTAAATTCTGTAGCTTTAAACTACATATAATAACAGTTCAGAAAGAAGAAAAAGCAGACATTTGACTGTCTGGGTTAAGTCCAACAAATTTAATATTGCAATATTGTTTTAGGAGCAAAATCATTAACAAGGTGTACAACACAAACTTTTCACCATTTCCTTTTTTTTTTTGCTGGTGTGTTTCTGGCTGTCAAAGTTATAGGACAAGTGAAGTTATTAAGGTCATGTTTACTATAGAAATGTCGATTTAACAAGACTTATCAAATTCACCCAAGGCCCTCTAGCCTTTTAAATACCGTCTTTTACACCATTTGGGAAATAAATACATTTATAGTGTGCTAGCTAAACCTTCCTTGCCACAGTGGACTTTACCAATGGTCAATACTCGAAACCTATAGACCGAAAGGCAAATGCCCATAGCTAGCAAATGTCAACTGTATAATTAGTGCTAAGCATATCCCACCTATATATTATTCCTGCTGGAAGCTATCCCAGAGACAAAATTTATAAAGGATATATTAATTAACAATAGGTACGACATTATCATGTACATGGGTGCACATTCCATTAATTAGCTTAATGGTGTAAAAAAAATCATGAAATTAGTTTGTGCTAAATATTAAACCCTATTTACTAGGTAGTTAAATAATGCAAAGAAACCATTTAGCCCGTTTAATACCTGCCTCACTATAACGAGTCTACACCTCTCACTTGGCATCTGATCTCACTCTCCACATTTATTTAATTCATTTATATACAAGGTACATGTACATTGGGTTTGTGAGAGTACATATCAATGGGTTTTTTTACATTCTTGCTATGACATTAACACTCATAGCATTTCCAGTCAACATCACATCTCTACTGATGTGACCAATATGCCTTACCTTTAATTGTCGACTCATTCGTATAAATGACCAATTAAACTAAGTGGAAACTTTACGACTTTGTAGTTTAACAAAGTTGGCAACTGAAGAATTCTAACCCAATACTCCCATAAAAGACCTTAAATGACAAATAGGTACACTGTGTGCGTGTGTATCGCTTATACAACATACCAGTTTGTATTGAAGATCACCCATTGCGAATCCTCTGTCTTAGGTATGGCCTTCGACCTTAATGGGGTACAGGCCGCCGTCCAAAGTCCTTCCTTCAGGCAGGACGGGTGCCGCCGCCGTCGTCGTCAGCGATCACCTGTCAAGTATCTATGAAGAGCCGTCGTCTCCTCCCTGGTCGGAGAGGTCAGCCAGACCACGTTGCCACGCGCTCCTCACTGCGAGAAACCATAGGACACAACAATCAGTTACGCAGGTGCTCAACAACCTGCCGTATTTGTCAACAAGTTAGCCAAACATGCTGGAACCTGTACATCTTTTCAAATCTTCGGCGGCTTTGTTTACATTAATTAAAACGGTTTACGAGGATCAAAACGTCCAAAATCAAATAATATTGTTATGAACTGCCTCCAAGCGCTTCGGGACTCAAACTGTTAATTAGTTAAGTACGTGTCAACAAAGTTGCCAACGATTGAGGAAAGATGTATATAGGTTCTTAAGTACTCGCGTAATCGCTTTGTGAATCCAGGCTCTGCATGGACGTTACTTGCGCAAGTACTTATGAACCGGTACATCTTCTCAATCTTTGGCGACTTTTACATTTATTAAACAGTTTGAGAGCTCCAAAGCACTAGGAGGCTCTATATAGCATGTTGATTGGGAAGTTTCGATACTGGTAAATTGTTTACAGATATAGATACTGATAAATGTAAATGATCTTTATATTTATATTATTTAATAAAGAAAATGTAAACAACGCCGCCGAAGATTGAGAAGATGTACAGGTTCATAACTACTTGTGTAACAGCATGTTGAAGCCAGGTCCAGCCCAGTTAATCGCGCCAACAACAACTCACTCCAATCGTACAACATTCAACCAAAAATCACGCAACATTCACATTCCACAAATACATGCATACAAAAATTTTACACACAGCCTAATCTACATTTATATTTTACTGTACTGTTTAAACATATGCATAGGTCACACGCAGGTACGGTATGAATTTATCAAAGTACGGTACAGACACACACTTCCACTTTCTTTTATATTATGTACCTGTGCTTGTATAATACATCAACACCCACATTATGCCTCCATTGTACAACGTTTATACGTTTATCACACAGCTGACCGGAAAAGAGGTTATCACCAAGAGAAAACGTTATGGTAGCATGATACTGAAGACCTCCCGACCCCGCTTGGAAGTTCAGGTGTGAATCCCTTTTAACACGTTTGCAACTTGTATAGTACTAAATTTACAGCACGAAATCAAATTGATTAATGCTATAAGCCACGACTACATGGATTAATAGTAAAGGATTAATAGGCAAGAGATTAATAGTGTAAATGAATATGACAATCAAATTTATTGATGTAAAGGTGTTGCGGATTAAATGCAGGCATCTGGATTAATTCGAGCCTTTGTCAGGGAAGACCGACTACCCCAAAACCTTAACTATTCGCCTTTGTTCACCCAGCAGCAATTGGGAACTGTTAACCGGTTGTTAGGTCGTGTCCCAAGGAAAACTAATAGGGGTAAGCCTTAACCGGAGTTGGGAAGGAAAACTAATGTGCCTATTAACTGGAGGTGGATAATGTTCACTTGTACCCACCCATGTAAACAATTTATGGCTTGTCAAGTCTGAAATACGACATTGTGAATGTAAAAGTTTTACTGGGAGATTTTTCTTTAAATTTATTGTAGCTGTATTTTCAACATTTTTATTTTTAATTTAAAAATTTCCAGACATAACAGGGCGCCTTACAGCACTGTACGACCCGAGGGCGACTGCTGGCATCCAGGGCGGTTTAGTTTATTTAATATGCACTCCCATAACCATCCCGCGGGCGCCAAGACACCCCCATAGCAATCCCGCGGGCGCCAGAGGACCCCCATAGCCATCCCGCGGGTGGTAGTGGTCAAGTTTACAGAGGCACATAATGGGCTCTGGTCCTGAACTCAAAAATTCAATTAGCTAAACAAGTTACACAGTTTTAATTAGCTAGTTACATAGTTTAAGTAGCTAGCTGTAAGTGGCACCCCGGAGATCAACAACGTGTTTGTAAACGACCACAAGTACAGTCTGGGAGCCAAGTAGTTTACACATAAGGTGAGCTTGTTTCATAATTTGATTCCCTCCCCCCTTTATCCAGACAGGGGGGTGTAAAAGTTACAATCACCCCACATTTACCTGAATTCACCCGAGGGGCGGCCACGATGAAGACAAGAAAGCCGGCGGATTGTCAAAGCTCAAAGGATAACCGACATATGAAGGTCGGCAACATAAGAGGGAATAAACGATAATCATAGATGTGAAGGCACTGGATATAATAATGGAGCAATAAGACACGATATTCTGACACGAATTTGGTTATTTAAGTTCCCCGTGAATATGTTGGACTGTATAAATCTTTCACTACATCTGTATTGTATTATATTTATACATTTTGGTGTACGATAAAAATTAACAATTACGACACTATTACATGATCCCCGTTAAACTATTACAAATTTTCGAAGGCTCAGTAACCATGGAACAAACACTACAAATCGTAATACGCTGAAACTCGCTCACATACAATCAATAATTTAGTACCTAAATAATATTCCTACCTTAAAACCCTAACTTGATCTCATACATTAATATACTTACGCTGTAGTCTTTCTTGCTAATACTGGTCAAACCAAGAACATAATAATATTATTTCACAGAAATTAATTAACTCTAGAAAACTATATAAATAAATATTATTTTACAAATTAATTACAATTATATTTCTTTTAAATATATATACTTTGAAAAGTAATACAAAGTAAATAAATATTTAGATTAAATTCAATAAATGTAATTAATTTACAATAAATAATATTTGTAAGCATATGTACCTGATAAAATTGTTTAAGGGTAAACTAAATGTAAATCTCCACTGCGTAGTAAACACGAATATGCGTTTTCTTCATTTAAAAAAAGTGACGACCCTCTTAATATAGCCTAGACTTCTGTAATCTAATGTTAAAAGCATTAACACAGCTACTATTTTTTTAAATCCTACAAGTGTCCTAGCTGTTCTACACATTATTCTGACGTATAAATCCCCTAAGGCCAAAAATTGATGTACTCAATATCATAGTAAAATTCACGCGGTCCCGTTTTCTATTCGTGGGCCCTCGGTTAGGATAGGTTCTGGCAATTTAGTACATCAGTTAAATGACGTTGTGAACACTCAAAGAGGACGGGCTGGCTCAGCACCATTGCTTCATGCCATATATCTTGGACCAACAAAAAAAACTTCAAGCAGATATTAATGAAGTTTTCGACTGGGCAACAAAAAATAACATGATGTTTATCATGTTATTCGATAAATTCCAGGTACTCAGGTACGGTAAAAATGAGAACCTTAAACATAATACAGGGAATAAAACACAATCAAATTTGCCCATAGTAGGAAAGCAGCATGTAAAAGTTTTGGGAATAATGATGTCTGACGACCTAACGTTTAGTGGAGCATAACCAAGCAAATATTGCGTCAGCCATAAAAATGATAGGATGGATTACGAAAACTTTAAAATCCAGGGATCCCATCACAATGGTTATACTATACAAATCACTTGTACTGTCATGTTTTGAGTACTGTTCAGTACTGACTTCCCTCTTCAAAGCAGGAGATATTGCTGAAATGGAGGTAATACAGAGAACATATACGGCATACATAGACGCGATAAAGCACCTAAATTACTGGGATCGTCTCAAAGCTCTCCAAATGTACTCACTAGAAAGGAGACGAGAGAGATATCAAATAATATACACGCGGAAAATACTGGAGGGCCAGGTCCCAAATCTACACAGTAAAATAACAACATACTGGAGTGAACGATATGGAAGAAAATGCTGAATAGAACCAGTGAAGAGCAGAGGTGCCATAGGCACAATCAGAGAACACTGTATAAACATCAGAGGCCCGCGGCTGTGCAACGTCCTCCCAGCGACTATAAGAAATATTGCCGGAACAACCGTGGACATCTTCAAGAGGAAACTAGATAGTTTTCTCCAAGGTGTGCCGGACCAACCGGGCTGTTGTGGATATGTTGCTTGGCCGCTCCAAGCAACAGCCTGGTGGACCAACCTCTCACAAGTCAAGTCTGGCCTTTGGCCGGGCTTGGGGAGTAGAACTCCAAGAACCCCATCAAGCAGGCTTGGGAAAGTTGTTGGATTCTAATGTTAGAACCGGAATTTTATGTTCATTAGCAGAGCCAATCATTATAGTATTTCGGCCAGAATGCAATATTCATGAGTCTACCCATGCGTTACACTATTTTGACCGTAGTGCAATGTTCACAAGTCTACCCCATTCGAGAAGATATGCTGAAGGCCAAAAATTACTACAAGTAAACAAATACTGTATTGTTTTTGGCCGGTGTTAATCAATCGGTTCAATGAAGCGTTCTGGACCGAAGCTGGACCATCACAAAACGGTATATGTTGGTCCTATTTGAGTATTTGTGATCCAGTTGGGTTTACACAACACTCAGACGGGAATGCACCGGTACCACGGAAACCACAGCTTACCGGAATTAATGATAAGAGTTGAGGGGGATTAAAATACAGACTGGGTTGGCACCACGGAGATTAGCGTGCAAAATCAGTTACCAAATATATTAGCAGGCAATATGGGATACCACATTATTTGCCGGTAATATGGGGCATTTCACATATATTACCACAGAATATGGGTTGCCACACATTATAATAATAACAATAATAATAATACTCTAATAATAATAATAATAATAATAATAATAATAATAATTTATTTGCAAGGTACAATGGCTTGTGAGATTACATAAGATTCATATTTTTACATTCATACAAAGCCACAGCATTTCACACACACAGCATTTCGGGCGGGTCCTTAATCTAACATATCAGGCAAGATGAAAAGGTACATTGAAGCAAGTTTTTTTTTATCAACAAATAACTACAATATAAGTTGACAGGTGATTACACAGGTAAGGATATGTCTTAAGTACTAATATTGGGGAAGTGGGTAGTACAAGATACAGTGTGAGTTTGAAGCACAAGGTAGGAATCTATGAGGATGAAATTAGGTACTTTTTGGTTTTACTTTTGAACAGGGCATGGGTTGGACAATTTTTAATTTATCAGGGAGTGAGTTTCAAAGACTGGGCCCTTTTATTTGTATGGGGTGTTTGCA